AGACAATGATAGACAAAAAAAGAAACTAATTGATTTGACATTTTTATTGTTTAAGGAGTTTGGAAAGAGCACCTGCAAACATTCATAAAGAGCTCCTGTGCTTTAAAAACGAATCTATATTTAAATTATGGTATAAAATGCGCTGTTCTGATCGGATGTTGCTGTCGTAAAAGCTGATCTGTTACTGCACGTTTAAGATTAATGCATGTGATTCTTCGTTGCTTGGCGAGCATAAACGGGCTATAGTTAAGACCAATTGTCACGGTGTGGTGCGGGAAAGAAGCACGTAAACGAGGAAGATACAATAAACAGTCTTTAATACTTCACAGAAGGGTAATCCACAGCAGGGGGTCCAGCAGTTTGGCTACCATGTGTAAGAAGCTCTCCACAAACGGCTTGATACTCTGGGAATGACATGCCATCAACAACTGATCCAACGCCTCCATTGCTATTACCACGTACCTGTTCACACACACACACACACACACACACACACACACACACACACACACACACACCAGGGTAATTCAGACGTATTCCATAGACAAGACCGGACAACCAAACACTGAACAGACTGCAACTTATATGGGGAACGTAAATGAGGATAATTGACACGAAACACCTGAACATGATGACACAATCAAGGGGAGACAGAAACTAGGTCAAATAATATGAGGGATGAAAATGAAAACAAAAGTCCATAAAGTGTGGCACCAATGAACTATGTTCATTTCTATGAATAATTCTGACTCTACTGTTCAAAAGTTTTGGGTCAGTAAGATGTTTTTTTAAAGAAATTAATACATTTATTCAGCAAAGATGCATTAAATTGGTCAAAAGTGACTGCAGATATTAAAATATTACAGAATATTTCTATTCCAAATAAATACTGTTCTTTTAATCTTTAAATTAATCAAATAATCCTGAAAAATGGATCACTGTTTCCACAAAAATATTAATAGTAATGGCTTCAGCTTTGCCATTAGAGGAATAAATTACATTTTAAAATATATTAAAATAGAAAACAGTAATATTTCACAGTAGTATACTGTATATTACAGAACATTATATTATAATATTATATTGTATTAAAAACAATAACATTTCACCAATATTACTGTTATAGTAAATATTAGTGAACAAATAAATGCAGACTTGCTGAGACATCTTTAAAAAAAAAATAAACACCAAGTCGTAACCAACCCCACACTTTTGACCGGTAGTGTATTAATATACTAATTAATGCAAATAGTAGTTTTAAATTGAAATTGTATTTAGGTATATAGGCTAATTATAGGTTTGTAAACATTCGGGATGCGTGCGCATCATGGTTGCAGAAAAGCCGGGAGAGATAGCCTTTACGGCTAGAGAAGAATAAAATCATTTTTTAAAAAAAGGTACATTTGATTTTATATTTCAAAAATCCGACTTTATTCTCGCAATTCCGAGATTATATCTCACAATACTGATAAGGAAAAACAACTTGTCACTCTCTCTTTTTCCCTCGGCTCAGAATATATAGCCCACACTTCTGGCTTTTTTTGCCCTCAGAATTGACAAACTCACGATTTTTGAGTTAAATCGAGTTATAAAGTCCAAATTAGGAGATATAAATTTGTATTTGCAAGAAAAAGTCAGAATTGTGAGATAAAATAAATAAATGTTGTGTATTTTACGGCTAGAGAAGAATAAAATCATTTTTTAAAAAAAAGGTACATTTGATTTTATATTTCAAAAATCCGACTTTATTCTCGCAATTCCGAGATTATATCTCACAATACTGAAAAGGAAAAACAACTTGTCACTCTCTCTTTTTCCCTCGGCTCAGAATATATAGCCCACACTTCTGGCTTTTTTTGCCCTCAGAATTGACAAACTCACGATTTTTGAGTTAAATCGAGTTATAAAGTCCAAATTAGGAGATATAAATTTGTATTTGCAAGAAAAAGTCAGAATTGTGAGATAAAATAAATAAATGTTGTGTAAAATGTTAATTGTAATGGATTTAAATAATATTTCATGCTGTAACTGTAGGGCTAAGTTAATACAATATGTCCCCTATGAACTGCAAATGTGAATATTATGTAGGCCTATTTTTTTAATCAAATTTATGCTTTAAAAGTAGAGTAATCATAGCAGTTTTCATTCATAGTATGTCCGTTTAAACGTCTGCGTTTAGCTTCAAATGGTGTCTTTGACCAGTATTCTATAAAAATTATTTGCTTTCCAATTCTGATATCCAAAGGCACAACACTAAATTTTTTTTCTCTTATTCCATGGATTTTACCCGTTTCCCTTTACTTGTTCACAGTGTTTTTCTGCCACCACAATGCACGCGCATCTGCATGTGACGTAACCGTGACGTCTAATCCAAATTGGTCTATACACTGACCATCTGCTGAAAAAGAAAAGAATATTTACGTTCTTTGTAAATATGTCATGCTCCTGTCATGCTCATTATGATATCAACGTTTTATGCTGGTCCAATCTCAGGACACTTATACACCTGTTAATATTTCATTTAGCCATTTATATCAGTCAGTGTATCGCTCCTGTTTTCTGAATCTCTCTCTCTCTGAGAGTCCATGATATCATGGACCCGACCGAACCATGAGAAAGCAGCACTTAGCCCAATTGAATTTTAGAGATGGTCACTGAACAACACATCATTTATTTATCTCTTAAGTAATGGGATAAAAAGAAAGAAAACGAGAGAGCACACAAAAAGAGCATGAGCATAAAAAAAGCCACTCAAGCCATTTCTCTTTCTAGATGCCTTTATCGTTTGCATCAGATCACAGCTATCAGTGAATTTATGTTTATTCCACTTCAAACTTGATTTATAATGCAATGGATGAACTGCATGCAGAAGGTGCAGCAAATGATAAAAACAAGTTTTATAACACATACTCAAAGTGTTTAGTTTATGTGTGTGTTTGTTTTCTCCGCAGTCATTGCATGCCAACAGTCGTACGGCCATCTCTCACACTCAGATTAACTGTTCTGTGGGGAGCCGCGGCAGGGCTGAATATTAAATGTCCTGCATTAATTCTGTGAGGTAAAAAAGACATCTGCTGCCGTAAACCGAACGCACACGCACATCACTCGCAGCAGTCACAGTTCACTCTTTCAGAGGGATGTTTATTTGGTCCCACTTCTCAGAAAAGCTTTAAGCCACCAGTGATTCTACACCCACATCCATTTGTATATGATGAAAACATCATCACTTAAAGTCTGAAACGTGTCTGTGTCTGTGTGTGTGTGTGTGTGTGTGTGTGTGTGTGTGTGTACGCGTGTGTGTCCATGAGAAGTACCGTGAATGCTAAGGCTGTGTGACTGCTAGTATAGTGTAGTGGTGATGGTTTTTTAGATGAATTTTTGATACTTCAAGACTGAGGCTGATGTCATTTCTGAGAATCATGCTTTGGGGCTGTCAAAAGGATTGAATGCTTTCTGGGTAGAAGATCGACATGCATTCACTCTTGAGTACTAAATTCACAAACTTGTCCCATAGAGGTTATGGCTGGTCCTTATAAAGGCCTGTGAAAGGAACATAATTCGCATATATAAACACCCTGCGTCATTCGTACTTTCTTCATCTTTCATTATATTTTCGAAAAGTTTCTTTAGTTTGAGGTCTGGCTCAAACTTGGCACAGTGTGATCTTGGACTGAGGATATGTTATGTGTAAGAGCGGTTTGTGTTTATATGAGACTGATCTGACCCAGCAGGAGTGCCTGCATTGAGTTCATGATTTGAATTCCTACTAGCAGATCCCTGTGTTTGAGTGCACGTGGGCATTCTTTTTAAGTAGGGTAGACGACTCTAGTTAAGATGCTTGACTTTTACAGCCGGCCCGCGTTAAAAGCCATGCTTTTCAATGCTGATACTTCTCTGTCCCTCTTCTCTTTATATCACATGATCATTTCTCTATCCTAAATGGATGTGCGTAACATCATTGTTTATGGTCCGAGAATAACTATATATATGTATTATGTATTTACGCAGCTGAAACAGTTTGTGTGTGTTTATGTGTGTGTGTCCGTTTTAGTTCCCTCCCATAGAACTCTCTAAAGGTTTCCCAAAGAGGCTATGACCTTGTATCCTTTTAGAGATTGATGCTCAATATCCCAGGATGGGCATTTATATTAATCTCAGCCGCTTCCTTTATAGAGTGGACATCTTCATGCCCATTACATGTACACACAGTCATTAACTATATTCTGGCTAAGAATAGGGCAATAGGCTTAATATTGATTATATGACACTGAACAGTTGCATTGGTCACAGGTCCTGTTTACACCTGGGATTCATGTCCGTCTCAGGGTTATTTGATCACATCAGTCTTTTCCATGTAATGAAAGTGAAAAGTCACTGTCAAGCTTCAAAATGACAAAAAAGCACTATAAACACATAGTGAAAGTGATCCATATGATTAGTGTGCTAATATTCCAAGGCTTCTGAAGCTGAACAATAGCTGTGTATGAGAAATTTACTGTACAGTTCAAAAGTTTGGGGTCAGGGGGAAAACATTTTTTAAGAAATTGACAGAAAAGTGACAGTAAAAACATTTATAATGTTACAAAAGATTTCTATTTAAATTTAATGCTGTACTTTTGAGTACTGAAAAGATGTATCATGATTTCTACAAAAATATTAAGCAGCACAACTCTAAATCATTATATTAGAATGATTCTGAAGGATCATGTGACACTGAAGACTGGAGTAATGACTGCTGAAAATTCAGCTTCCATGACAATAAATTGCATTTTAAAATATATTCAAAAAACTGTTATTTTAAATTGTAATAGTATTTCACAATATTACTGTTTGTATTTTTGATCAAACAAACTTAATATCATTACAAAAAATATCTTACAGACTCCAAACTTTTGAGCGGTAATGTTAGTGATTCTTCACTGATAATGTTTGTGTTTTGACACTTGTGGAGATGCAGGTGTTAAATGTGCTGAGCTGTTCTTTCTGTGTTTGAACCTCAGATCATCAGAAGCTAGAAAGAGAGGCCCGCATCTGCCGTCTGCTCAAACATTCCAACATAGGTGAGTCTTGATCCCGTTCTCCCTTGAGTAATTGAGAACAATAGTGTGTGTGTGCGCGTGCGTGTCTGTACACAGTGAGACATACTGTACAAACATGCTAGTCACAGTCAACACAAGATTATTTGCATGGCATGAGAAAGGATGTGACTGACAAAACAGATCACACAGACAAAATCTCCACCTCATGCAAAATCATGGAAATAGCACAGGCATCATCCCTTCAGGCTCCCTTCAGTGTGTGTGAACAGCACGGTGTTGTGGAAGACCGTAAGGTGTGAGTTTCTAAAATGTTTCAGGATGGTGACATTGGGCACTGAGGGAAGCTAGATAATCACCAGGTGCAAAAAAAGTAAGTATTTGTGAAGTTAACATTATGAAGTGTTTGGGGATTTCGAAGACTTGAAGGAAAACAACAGGATTAAAACAAAAGGATTGGTGCTGTTCAAGAAAATCTCCTTAAACTGTGCTTACATGACACACACCACCAGACTATTTAACAGGGATAATTCACCCAGAAGTGATTTAAACAGACAGGCTCCAAAAAAGGCAGAGATACACCATAAAAGTATGACTTTGGCTATTTCAAGTCTTCATACTATAGCTTTATGTAAGGAACAATCTAAAATGCAAGTTATTGTTCATTGTTAATGACTCCCTAGTAGCCACAGTTGTTCATGTGGCACACAATCACCAGTGGTGTTGACAGCTGTAAGTCAAATATAGTTCTTTTTTGATACTTTAAATATGTTTTTTGTCCTTAGCAGTGTAAATCATATGTTTCTTGTAATGCAAACAGAAGCTCAGACATTCTGCTTGACGTTTCCTTATTTGTAGCCTTGGTTTTCTTCTTTCTAGGAAGCGTTTGTCCTTTCCCACCCTCATACTCTCTTGTCTTTCCTCCCTCACTTTTTTCTCTCATGTATTCTCTCCCTTCCATTTCCAGTGGCCTAAATGTGTCTTTTGTACCTTTTACTGTCTAGCCATCTTGAACGGCCCTTTCTTCTTCTTTCTCTCTCTCAGGTTGTCATGTTTTCTGCATGGACTGCCAATAAACTCCTAACAAAAAGAGCAATCAAGTGTGTGTAGGAGAGAGAGAGCATTCTTAAGGAGCACATCGCCTATGGCGGCAAAGACTCAAGCTAATACACACTCGTTCTTTTTCTCTCCTTTTGTCTTGAACATACACAACACATGCAGGGTAACTTACAGCCTTTGTACATGTTATCAACAGTGGGGTTTGTTGTCAACAAACCCTCTTCCAAAAACCAGCAGATATGAGTGCATGACTGCAGTCGGCTCACAGACGCACGACAAGAGCAGATATATCCCTGTGGAGCTCTTTAATAGTGTGAAAACCCATAACTTCATAGTACAATAAAGTAAATGTTCAGAGATGCAAAAAAAAAAAAAGGGATCAGTAAGATTTTTTGTTTTTGAAAGAAGCCTCTTACTGAATGTTCACAAAGGCTGCCTTTATTTGATTAAACAATGCAATAAAAACTGTAATATTGTGAAGCAGCTGTCATTTTTTTACAGTATTCAGAAATCTTTATACATTAGCATTAGGTGTCTTTACTGTGACGTTTGATCAATTTAATACTTGTTGAACAAAAGTATTAATTTGTTTTAAAAAACTTTTGAACGGTATTGTATTTATTTTACATATTTATTTTATATATGAATATATTTTATCCACCTTATTTTTCAATGCGGAAGTAAGACGTTTTCTGTGAATGTGTGAGACTTTCGGTTCATTAGCCGCGGTAGGGAAATAACGAGTACAATAACAAAATACAGTAAACGGTATAACTCTTTTCACTACAAACCAGTGTGTTCATAATTAAGATAATACATTAAAATAATGTTAAAATCACTGGTAAGACACCAGTTTGCAATATCAAGCAGCAAAACAAGCTGTTTTGTACAGCTAAAAATAGCTGGAAGCAAATGACACTGGAAGTCAGTCCGATAAAATTTACAAATGGCCACGCCTGCTCTTATGGGAAAAAATAAGGTGGATACACATTCACAGCTACGTTACTGCAAAACACACATATGCATGCGAAACGGCTAGTATTACTTTTTTCCAATTTTAGTGCTATACCAGTAAAGTATAGCTCTAGTTCAAGTCAAAAACATTAGGGCAATATGTTCAGAGAGTATCATCTTCATCAGAGTACAACACACATCGGCTCTGTCCACACCTGTTAAAATCACTCTCCATTCAAACACTGTTCACAGCACCTTCGGTATGAATTGTGTTAAAACGCAGTCCTCCAGTCAGAATGTGTGTATGTGTCAGCGCTGTGGGTGATCCTGGGTGGATGTGGAGATAATATAATTCTGCTTTGCCCTCTCTGCCCTCATTTAGCACAGCCACCTCCCTCACATGGCTGAGATTAATATACGCTGTCATTTACACAGACCCACACACAGTGAGAGCGAGCCGAGGGTCTCTTAATGGCTGCATGAGAGAGATCTGGCAGGTGCACTGTTTCAAATCTGTAACAACCGATGACAAATTCATTACCTTCAATCAGGATAACAAATGTTCCTTGCTTTACTTGCAGTGCCACCGCTCCCTCTGTAATGCAAAGACCAGAATTCCTTCTCTGAGACGAATGATGTACTATGCCAAATTTAATTTGTTAGGTATTTGGAGTTGCTCTTTATGAACGTTTCAGATGGGTCAGTTACGATTTTCATTTCAGCTAGGATGCTGCCTTAGAAGGCATTATGCAGCAAGGTTGGGATTTGTAATGAGGATGACTTCATGGGCAGGTTAAGAAAAGGATAAAAGCTCCTTCTGTTCATTCTGCTTATGTTGTTTCTCTGTCTTACCTCATTCTCTCTTTCTGTTTTCCCTCAACAGTGCGTCTCCATGACAGTATCGCAGAAGAAGGCTTTCATTACCTGGTCTTTGACCTGTAAGTATCTGAGTCAGACAGTGTGATCTTCTGTTGAGATGAGGCCTGTATACTCACACTTTCCACTTCCTTTCAGCCTTGTTTGGCAGTAATTAAGTTTGTTAATTAACTTTGTTAATTACAGGAAAATGTAATTGAAGTATGTTGATTAAACTTTATTCTCTAGCCAGTAAGCCCATTTCTCTGTACCATATATTTCTGACATAATTTTAAACAATTATCAGAGTCTGAAGTGTTGTTGAGATGTAGACTCCTCTGCATAAATGTAGTGTGTGTGAGAGCAAGACATACATGTAAGTGTATGTGTGTGTAGATTGTGACTGTATGGCCCTCTCTCAGGGCTCTTGTGTCAGGATGCTGATAGCGCTCGCCCAACACTCAAGTGCCGGCCCGTGGTGATAAAACTCTCCATTAGCCACATACTCCTCAACAGGCCTCGTGCTCTTTATAGTTTATAGCTGAATGGAACTGCTGTGGGTTCTCCATACTTGAGTTGTTGATAAAGCCTGTATTTCTTCCTGTAGTGTGACTGGTGGAGAATTGTTTGAAGACATTGTCGCAAGAGAATATTACAGTGAAGCAGATGCAAGGTAAGTTTAAAAATTCACCTAAAATCATATCTGCGTTTAGTTGTAATTTATAAATAATATACACTACTAACGTGGGTCAGTTTGGGGTCACTAAGTCAGAAAGAACTTTGTACTTTTATTCAACACTGATGCATTAAATTGATCAAATTTAACAGTAAAGACACTTGTGTGAAAAAAGATCAAAAGATACTTTAAATGTTCTTTTCAGAGAATACAAAAAAAAATCACAATTTTCACAAAACTGTTAAGCAGCACAACTGTTTTCAACATTGATAATAAGAAATGTTTCTTGAGCACCAAATCAGCATATTAAAAGGATTTGTATAAATAATATATTATGTAATATATACAATAATAAAATATTAATGGATTTTTTTCTGTAAATACTATGGTACATCAATCTCATAGTCTTTTCTTTAATTGTTTACTCAAAGTACCATGGTATTACTTTCTGCTGCCATCACTGTACCATGGCACTACCACAGTGCTTTTGTAAGGCCTTAGTGAAAATATTCTGTCTCTAACACTGCCCTTTGGCCCCAGACAGTGAGACAATCATTAAATGCCAAGGTTACGCAACTAATTATTAAACATGATATTTTTATTTCAAATAATGTCAAACTATGTAAATACTCTCAGTGCTTTAACAGGGATGGCAGCTGGCCTGAAATGTGGTGTTATTTTTAACCTGCTGCCTGGATAGGCATCCCCTTAAATTAAAACTGACTGTCTGCACTTCAGTCCATTTCCACTTCATATTCAGCACTAAACCGGAACAACAAAATTAGTGTTACTTTCCAATTACTTTTGGAAGCCACTCTCCAGACTTGCTGCATGAAGGCTGCTTCTGAGAGTTTGCATCAAGGGGGGAGAACAGAGAGAGTTTTTACTGGAAAGTGCCTCCGAAATGGGATGGAATGGAATGCAGTCCACAGATTTTGCCAAATTTGGACACAAGAAATGCCTTCCTCGCCATCCTTCCTCAAGAGAGCTTTAGGGAATATCTAATGGGGCTGTTTCTTTACTTGACTGCCATTGCTTTTCTTTCTGCAGGCTCTCTCTTTTTTGCTCTCTCATTACATAAACCGAATCATTCGGAAATTTATTATTTTTCATTAGAGAGATGTCATCCCCACCCAACTCGCCCTCTGTCCTCGGGCCACGACCTTTTGAACAGGTTTCAGAGCTCAATAATGAGCTGCTCCACTCGCTGCATTTAGAAGCATTCCAGCTTCAACGGTGCTTGATATTTCTGTCCCCTCACTGTCTATGGAAAGACTTCTGCGGTGCAAGTCTGTCAGAGCAACACATGCACGTCTGTGTAGTATTACTGGGATATATATAGATATACGTACATGAACTATTGTTCAGAAGTTTAGGGGTGGTAAGATTGGTAAGATTTTTGTCTGTTATTCTCACCAAGGCTGCATTTATATATACACATACATACCTGTACATACATACATACATACATACACGCACGCATTCAGCTTCAGGAATTTGTTTGACATTTGGATGACATGGTAAATGTATTTTCATTTCCATCCTGGAAACCTTCTCTGGCAGCTTTGAGAACCACAAAACAAACCAGATTATTTATCTGTTCATGCAAAGCTTAGTCTATCTGCACAGGCCAGGTTCTGTAGCTGGATTTCTTGCACCCAGTCTTCTATCTGGAGTTAGATCCTTGTACTAATACCTGGGTTTCTCTCCTCTTTTCCTCCCCTCTGCTTTCTGTTTCTCAGTCATTGCATCAATCAGATCCTGGAAAGCGTCAGCCACATCCACCAGCATGACATTGTGCACAGGGACCTCAAGGTGAGTCATGCCGTCACTGTGGCAACATGCCAATACGGGAGCTTGCGTCATCCAAGCCCTCCTCCTCTTGGCAACTCTGTGGCGTCATTTGCACACACTCCGACATGTGCTTGCAACATTAAACGCTGTGTGGACACAAACTTGACACCGGAGAAAATGTATGCCGTTTGATTGTGTTATTTCATTCTCTTGACGTCAGAGCTCGGCCGGTTGGCTGTGGCTAATCCTGAGGGGTCATTTGATAAGCACAATGCAGAAAGCAAACAAAGGAACATTTAATGGATGATGGAGAGATTTGTTCTTTAAATGCCATCATTCAATGTGAACCTCATATTGGATTGAAATTGAAATTTACAATGATTTTCCTTTGTATCTCCACATCTTCCTAGGAGTAGATGTAGATGTAGTAGAGCCTGTTTAGGAGGTGAAATTGTGTTTGTTCAAGTTTTATTTTTTTTCTTACAATAATAACTGATGAAACGCATAATAGATCAGTGGCATGTGGTGGACAAAAATGCGTCTAACCCCACCCCTACCAAAAAAAAAAAAAAAACACTGAACCATTACTTTCTGTACTAGTTCACCTCTTTAAAAGTAAAGACAGACAGAGGAGTACTGGAGGTAGGCCGGTTGCTATGGAAACCTGTGTGATGTCATGGTGGCTGCAGAGTCACGGCATGATGGTGAGCGTGTCTGGTGGGGAGTCATTTTGCCTCCTCTAATTCATCAGAGGGAAAGAGACAGAACTCTTGAACAGACAGACAAGGAGGAAAAGGAAAACTAGACAGAGAAAGAATGTTTAGGAGGGAGGCGAAATCCCTAGAGTTGCAGGACAAGGGCATTGGGCGCTGATTTTTATTGAAGGAGTAAGGATGAAGTTCACAGATAAAATGTATGTAAATATTATATGAAAAACTAGAAATTCTGCTTAGGCAACTAACTGATATAAATATGAAGAACTCAAATTATTAAAACTAAAACTGAAATAAATATAAATTAAAGCTAAATAGAAACATTTTAAAAAAACTAATAAAAATGACAAAAGTGTATAAAATTATTAAAATATACACTAATATGAAAATGGAAACCAAAAATATAAAAATAAATATAATTAATAATTACTAAATACTATAATAGTATATAAGTAATACTAAAATAACACTCACTTGTTTATCCCCTTAAATTAAGTGGGAAAAAACAGTTGTAGAGAATTAGCCAATAAATGTGCAGTTAATTTTTAATTATTTGCCGTTTGTTTTATTGTTGATACTAGGATATGATGCTTAAGATGGGATGCCTAGCACTTAAAACCTTTTTTTAGTGTTTTTATTTCACAACATAATACATTATGCCAGACATTTGTAATACATACAAAGCCATTAAAGGCAGTTTAAAAACATTTGAGCAAATCCCTACATGGAATATCTGCTGCATGAGTTACCAATCCGGTTTTGGTTTGGCTTATGACTAATCTAGCTATGTCAGCATCCCCTAATTAACATTCATTAAAATATAATGTGACATCACAGAAAGTCTGTTGTGTCCATCCTACTATAAGCGTGTTGGCGCAGTTTTTGCAGGATGTCTGTGCAGTGTCCAGGTCAGGGCTGTGCCTGCAGCATTCAGAGGCAGCGGGGTGTGCAGGACAGCAGGGCGAGAGAGCAGCTCACCCCTGCTCTCGTAGCATGAGATAACAAGCCCTCCTCTCTGTCTCTTCATGAATTATGCAGCTTAGAGCAATAAGCGTGCTGCCACAGCTATACATCTGCTTTACACATATACACACACACACACACCAGTGAGATACTAGACACCTCCAGACACCACATGCAATCTCTCTCTTCTTCTCTCTCACATGTACAAGCATGCACACCATTTCTGTCTCTCTCACTTGATGCACACTGTAGTTCAAGTCCAGATCTCAGTATTCCTACAATGTGATGATGAAAGACACTCCTCATAGAACATGCTGGATACGTTTACGTCCTTTTATGCAGATCACAGCTGATTAAATTCAGCGTCGGTAGGCTTGATAATCACCTTTAGCATAATCATACACAGAATGAATGAGCAGCCATGTGGGAGTGAATGCCCATGAATTGCACTTCATAATTCTTTTGGCTCGTGCTACTGGATATTTTATTTTCCCTATTTTTATATTTGTATTACCTTTTTTGTCATCTAATCTTGAAAACGCTTAATTTAATAACAGTTCATGCAAATGTCAAAATTAATATCCAAGTCCAGTCACCTTTATGTAAATAGCGCTTTATGCAATACAGATTGTGTCAAAGCAGCTTTACAGTGTTAAACAGAAAAACCGTGTGCTGATAATGCAAGAGGACAATAAAAAACAGTCAGTTTATCAGATAAAGTCAGTTCATTGTTGATTCAGTGATGTCATCATCCAGCTCAGTTCAGTTCTCTTCCTATAGTGTCTGTGCAGTCAAGTCAACAATGTTGCCAGAAATTGTCCCCAACTAAGCAAGCCAAATGTGACAGTGGCAAGGTAACTCCATCAGTGACAGAAATGGAGAAAAAAAACCTTGGGAGTTCTCCTCTGGCCAGACGAAACCAGCATGGTGTGGTTTAATTCCAGGCTGCAACGCAAGTCAGATTGAGCAGAGGACTCATCTGGTTCTCGTGGTCTTGTGCCAATGGCCGACGAGGTCTTCACAGGGGGGATTTGTCTCTTGGGTTCATCTAGTTGACATGGTCTCTGCTGACATTCAGGGCTGTAGATGTCATCTCTAGGTCCTGATCCACCATCTGGACTGGATACAGACTGGATCCAGATGACTGCAGTGACCATCTGATCTGGATATGAACTGGATCTGGGTGGCTACGGTGACCTCGGAATAAGAATAAAACAAACAAATATTAGCGTAGATGCCATTCTTCTTACAATGTAACAAGTACATTGGGTGTTATGGGAAGTGTTCCCGGTTCCAGTTGTCCTATTTAATGCAGCCTAACAATCCTTTAACGGATTTGAATTATAGAAAAGGGATTGTGTGTTATGTGTATGCCAGGTTAAAGAAATGGGTCTTTAATCTAGATTTAAACTGACAGAGTGTGTTTGCCTCCTGAACAATGCTAGCTCGCTCAAGTACTGAGGAACTAAACCATTCAGGGATTTATTAGTAATGAGCAAGATTTTAAAATGTGTACAATGTTTAATAGGGAGCCAGTGCAGAGTGGACAGAACCGGGCTAATATGGTTATACTTCCTGTTTCTAGTAAGAACTCAAGCTGCTGCATTTTGGACCAGCTGGAGTTTATTAAGCACACTAAGCAACCACCCAAAAACCATTACAATAATCTAACCTTGAGGTCATGAACTCATGAATTAACATTTATGCATTTAACACTGAGCATTGGTCGTAATTTAGATATATTTTTAAGATGGAAAAATGCAGTTTTACAAATGCTAGAAACATGACTTTCAAAGGACAGGTTGCTATCAAATAGCACACCTAGGTTCCTAACTGATGATGAATAATTGACAGCACAGTCATCAAGTGTTAGACAGTGTTCTAGTTTATTACATGTAGAGGATTTTGGTCTGATAATTAACACCTCTGCTTTTTCAGAATTTAGCAGTAGGAAATTACTAGTCATCCAGTTTTATGTCAGCTATGCATTCTGTTAGTTTTGCAAATTGGTGTTTCGTCGGACCACAAAGAAATATAGAGCTGAGTATCATCAGCATAACAGTGAAAACTAACACCATTTTTCCTGATGATATCTCCAAGGGTAGCATGTAAAGCGTGAAAAGCAACAGTCCTAGTACTGAGCCTTGTGGTATTCCATACTGCACTTGTAAACAATATGATACTTCTTCATTCACTGCTACAAATTGATGACGGTCAGATAAGTATGATTTGAACCATGCCATCCCTATATTTGCATACTGTACACTATAATTTAGTGATGTCTAAATATACTTGAAGCATTCAGAACAAGTTCTGTTAGATTTTAGTGTTATTTTTATTTAATTTAGGTGAAATAGTATAAAATAACAAAGGTGTGGTCACATTTAAAGTTGTCTGTGGAAAAATGTAAGTGAAAATATAAAAATAAAAGCTAATCCAAAATGTTATTAATCTCTATAATAGTATATAAATAAATACTTGTAGCATTCAAAACAAGTTGTTTTGCGATTAGGAATTTTGCATGAGGGTGAAGAATTTCTCCACACAGATTTTGAAACAGAAAGCTGCTTGGTTTGAAAGTGACTTCTGTATGAGCTGTACATCACTACATTGTTGACAATAGTCAGTGGGCCTATTTTGCCCAGTACAATTTTGCACGCTACGTTAAAATGTGTACAACAGACAGAAATGGCACACTGCAGCTTTATGTTTTAATGTTAAAATCACAATATTGGAGATTTCAGTTCTGATGTGCCCATTTTTGTTCTTGTCTCCTCCCTCACTTTATTGCTCACTATTCTTACTTTCTTCTCTCCTGCCCTTTTCTCTGTCATGCGTACTCCTGTAGCCAGAGAACCTGCTGTTAGCCAGTAAGATGAAGGGGGCAGCAGTGAAGTTGGCTGATTTTGGCCTTGCCATTGAAGTGCAGGGAGATCAGCAGGCCTGGTTCGGTAAGACTCCTCTGCTTTTCCTTCAACTCATTGGTAGCCTCATCCCTTAAAGGGATTTGACTTGAAGCCATTCTAGATCATCCTGAGGCAAGACTGAATTAAATTCAACAGACCAAATTCATTTCTCTGGTTTCTCAAACAAATATTCAAAGCCCTGAAAATGTATCCGCTCATTTAGATGCCACTGTTGCTCGTTAACTCATTCTGAAAGCTGACTTTCAACCAGCAATGATTTTTCTTAATGCTCTGTTTGCTCTCAGTGACATCTGTGACTCTTGTTGGGACTAGAGAGCTCTGGAGAGTAGCCAGCTTGTGTTTTTACTCTGTGCTCTTGGGAAATATGGAGTAGTTTTCTCAATGTTTACTGTCCTTTTTGAGTCAAGACTACTCACTTGAACCAGGTCAAAGGTTACAGACGACAAAGCCAGTGGACAAATTGGATTAAGCTTGTCCAGCATCATGGGAATTTTTTATGTGCTTTTCATATTTCACAGCATTATAAGAAAGTGAAGTTATTTATTTATTTTTTACAAAAACAAAACAATTTTTGTATTTTAGTTTATTTTATGCAAATTGAAATGTTGTTGCCTTATTTGTAATGTTCAGAATTTGGTTATCATAAAGAGATTGTGTTGAAGATTTTGTGATTTGAAATCTGTTCATTTTAGATATTAAATTTGAAATCTGTTCATTTTAGATATTAAATGTAAGTAATCACGCTCTGGCCTTACAGGTTTTGCAGGCACCCCTGGATACCTCTCCCCTGAAGTCCTGAGAAAGGATCCCTATGGCAAACCAGTGGATATCTGGGCTTGTGGTAAGATTTTCACCTGTTTTATTTAGTGTTCACATTAAAATGATTCCAAGACTCTCTTTGGTCTGGTGTCTTATAGTGTTGAGTATTTGTCCAATTTTGTGAATAATCAGTGTAAAAAAATGTGATTCAGTCTCATTACTTTGGAAGAACAGTGGACTAGTACTAGTATGAAGTTACCTATTTATGTGTCCTGGGCAGGTGTGATCTTGTATATCCTGCTGGTGGGTTACCCTCCTTTCTGGGACGAGGACCAGCACAAACTGTATCAACAGATCAAGGCTGGAGCCTATGACGTGAGTAATCACACTCACTGTTTGCCTCAATGAGCTCTCACTGCTTTATAATCTAATGACTCTTTTAAATCTAATCAGACCTGAATATTTGTTCATATCCACATTACTATTCAAAAGTTTGGATTCATTGTTCGAAATCTTTTGTTATAATAATAATAATAAAAGTATTAAAATCTTTTAAAAAAATATCCCACTCATTTCAATTTCAAAAGCATCCCACATTTGATTGGTAGTGTACATGTGTGAAAGGAACACTTAAAGTTTTCACATCACATGTCTTTTTAAATTCCAAAATGAACCTTGGGTCGGCCAGTTGCACCATTGTATTTTTTTAGACATATTTTTAAACTACAATCATCCAACCTAAAGGTTTCGTCACCCAGTGTATTTGTGTTTTACAATTTATAATGTTGCTGATTCATATTTATATTGTGAGGAAGATATTTAAAAAGAACTTTGATTTAAAACTCTGAATTGAATTTATATATAACTAAAAAAGACAAGTAAAGAGTCAGTAATAAAATAAGAATAGATAAATGACAAGCAATGGCACAAACAAGTACAATAACAAGACTAAAATGAACTGTGCTTTAAGTTTTTCAGCTATAACAGTAATATTCAGGTACAGAAACTGAATAATCTATTTAACTTTAACTTTAAAATAACACTGGTTAGTCTTCAATGTATAAATAAACATTAATGACAGACAGCAGCAGGTTTATTTAGTTTGCTGTCTCTTTAAGACCACATGCACAGATCTAACTGTTACACATAAGTTTTGTTTCTCAACTGTTTACATTCACTTAATAGCCTATATACTGACAATGTTTAGTATAAATCGACTGTTTACGTGAATACTCATCAAGACGGGCATTTTGAGATAATTTTGTACGTATTTGGCTGTTTATGCACAATAAGGCGCAACACAACTTTATTCTGTAGTCACGCGCTCTCAGATGCGGCTCTATGTGCGCGTGCTTTGGGTGTGAGCTCACAGAAAGGGGTCTCACAGAGAGCGCGCAAGTACTGAATTGAGCACTTCAATGTTTAAAATTGAAATACTCAAAAGCATGTGCAAATGATACATTCCATCTGTCCAGAGCGTCTTTCACGCTGAAATTTCCCGCGGAAACTGCATGAATCAGTAGAATATGCGCAATCCCGTTTCGAAATTCAAGCCCTGCTCACATATCTGATGTAATTAAAGGGGTCATATGATGTTGCTAAAAAGAACATTATTTTGTGTATTTGGTGTAATAAAATGTGTTTATGCGGTTTAAGGTTAAAAAAACACATTATTTTCCACATACTGTACATTATTGTTTCTCCTCAATGCCCCGCCTTTCTGAAACGCATCGATTTTTACAAAGCTCATCGGTCTGAAAAGCAAGGTGTGTTGTGATTGGCCAGCTATCCAGTGCGTTATGATTGGCCGAATACCTCAAGTGTGTTACGGAAATGTTATGCCCCTATCATATTGTGATGATGCCCTGTCAGGCCGGAGCAATGATTCAAAAACACGAAAACCCATTATAAACGAGGCATCCGTTGCATCCAGTGGGGACATAATTATGGATTATAATGACTTGTACTGTCTTTTTACGCGTTGCGTTGCATCGCGCCGCGTAAACATAAAACATGTCTGCATTTGTGATCGGAGAAATGACAAACAACAAGCCCTACTCTACACTGCCCAAAAAACTCGCTTTAAATATATAAAATATAAAAACTCTTTAAATATAAAAAATATACTTACAGTCTCTGAGTCAGAACAACCGGCATTGTAGTCTACCAGGATCAGGAAAAGGTCCTTCATAAAATGTACTGCACACATCTGAATATTTGGGTTGATGTGTTCTGGAACAGTGTTGTAAATACAACTTAACCACTGATTTCTAGTTGTGTCCATTTTTGGAAGGCCAAACAAAGTAGTTTCGCTTTCACAACGAAACACACAGCGTCTCCACGACATGGCGGTGGCAACAACAATACTACAGCGAGAATAAAAGTTACGCCTTCTTTCTTTGCGTGAACATTTGGGTGGCGTTATGCAAATCTTCCCACATAGTGATGTAGATATGTGGGGGCATGTTAGAACGAGCCGTTTTAGGTAGGCGTGGTTAACTTTTATAAAGAATATCTTTTTGGATTTGAGACTTTAGTCTTTGCAACTTTACAGATCTTCTTTATGCACCAAGAACTTGTAACACTTCAAAGAGAAAGGAAAAATTGAAATCGCATCATATGACCCCTTTAAAGTAGGCGCTTACAAAACAGGCGTGTCGAACAAAAGGTCTGTTTATTTTAGCTGTGCTCAGCTCAACCAGGAACAGAAAGTGAAAGCCCTTTTATTAGACCTGTCTTTTATTGCCCATCAACATGTTGACAAAGATGCTCTCATGGCCCCATACAGAGATTTTATTGCCACCACATCGACCCAGAGTGGCAAACCCAGATTGAAGCCGTTGTTAATATTTAATTGGTTGGGATAGGGAGCAGAGTTACTCAATAATAAATGATGGCAGCCCCCTCCTCTAGAGCTCAGAAACATACAGGAGTCTTCATCATCATCATCACCACCTCAAATCCTAGAAGAAAACCAGTTTAGAGTGGGATATTTCCTATTAACACTATTCTAAATAGCTTATATGAGGTTACAACAATCTTGCAGATGGTATAGTGTCATATTTTTGTCTGTCAGCGCAGTGACCAGCTGTAGCTCAAAGCTGCTGTTTGTAAACAATCTAACATGATTAAAGTATATGGATTCACCCTAATTTTATTTCATTTGTGCTTTCACCATCCCTTTTAGTCCAGAAAGGTTCTCTAAGTGCATTGGAGTGTAGCATGTTTGTAGTGTTTGTTTGTTGTATAGTGCCATTGTCCATTTGATGGAGTGCTGCGGTGTGGGAAAGATGTGATTACGAAGGCCCGTTTTGGTTTCAGCATTTTCAGCCATCCAGGTGAAAAACACCACTTTGCCATCCATCGCTTTAGGTGCTCTGCTTTAATCTTATTGAAATCCATTACAGGCCATGGACGCCATTGATCTGTGTGTTTGTCCATGTCTGTATACATTTGAGCCCTCTGTTTCATACAAAAGTCTGGGACTAGTGAAAATGTTTCTATTTTTCTTTATTTCCTAATGTAATACGTGCGTTTTCATTAGTTTATATGATCAGCATCAGCATAAAGTTGATGTAACATTCATAATATCTTAGTACCTGGTTTGTCCCCCTTTTGTTTTCACGTGGAACTTCATGGACTCAAGTTTGTTTAAACCCTGATGATCATGTTCATGTTGAGCTTCACTGGAAGAACATCGTTTGTACACATGATCACTGTCACAAATATATCTATGATTAGTGACCTAGAACTATTAAATTCATGTTTATTTCTGTAGAGCTGTTCAAAATACATATCCTTTTAAAGTAGCTATATACAGAAAATTCGTGTTTAAATGTAAAAAATGTCATTGGGCCTTAGTTTGTTTATGAATAAATGTTAAATGTTTCTTATACATTTTGTTCATCATAACATTTTTGTTATAATTGTTTCAAAATCTTTCTTTTCATTTCCAGGTTTAAATTAAACAAACCACAGCTTTTCACTGTAGACCTCACTGTATATCAAGAAAACTGTCATCTTCTCTTTCTCTTGTCTTTTCATGTCTTAGTTTCCCTCTCCAGAGTGGGACACTGTTACCGCAGAGGCCAAAAACCTCATCAACCAGATGTTGACCATCAACCCAGCAAAGAGGATCACAGCTGACCAAGCACTCAAACATCCGTGGGTCTGTGTAAGTGGACTTAAAGCCCCAGCACTTTTCATTGCATCTCTCAAGGCTGGTTTATATTGTTGTCACCCAGCTTTTCACAATTGCATCCAACAACTGGCATAATGTCATACAGCTTACACGCCAATCTGCAATGAAGTAAACATGTGCTAGCCTGTTTTGTTGATGAAAAACATCAAATGAGACTTTATATACAACTTGTATTATAAACAATCTGTCATGACGTATACGAATAAAGATTTGTCCTAAGGACTGATGTCTTTTTCCCACTTAGCAACGCTCCACTGTCGCCTCCATGGTGCATCGTCAAGAAACCGTTGAGTGTCTGCGCAAGTTCAACGCCCGCAGAAAACTAAAGGTCTGATTCATTCATTTCCAGCACAATAAGGTTCAATATGTTAACATTAGTTTATGTATTCGCTAACATGAATAAACAAAGTACAGTACTTGCAGCATTTATTAATATAGGTTAATGTTATTTCTGCATGTACTGATACATTTTTTTTTTTACAAGTGTTAAGTATACATTAAAATTAGTCAATTAGGAACAAACAAAGTAAAATTGTAAATTCATACATGAACATTAACCTAAATTAATAAATGCTGTAAAAATGTTATTCATTGTTAGTTAATGACACCAAATGCATTAACTAATAGTAACAAACTCAACCTAATTGTTTAGTATTACCCATTATTAATACTTTATCCAAATGAATGAATGTTTGAAAACTTTGTCCTTAGCAATGTTAATTTTGATTTCAATTCTAGATAAGATACTAAAGTAGCATTTGTGTTTCCTGCAGGGGGCCATTTTGACCACCATGCTGGTGTCCAGGAACTTCTCAGGTGAATGTCTCATTAGCTTCAGACGTATGAGTGAGACTTGTGCTCATGAATTGAGGGATCAGTATGTTACGTTTATTTAGTTCTTTCAAAACTTTTGATTTTCTAATCTGGCCCCACTTTCCTGACTGCATAGAGGCATTTGGGCTTTGCTTTAGGTTGCTTTGTTAGGATACAAATTGGGTAAGTTTTCCTTGTGATACCGGAAAGGCTGAGCTTCTGCCTTGAGTCAGCCTCTCCAAAACGACATGCTCTTTTGTCCAATAGTGGGTCGGCAGCACACCAGCCCCGCCGCCCCCACCACCAGCACAGCTGCACTGGCACAAGAAGGTACGTGAGATGGGAACTCGGGGGCCGTTGCCCACTTTCAGCCTCAGCATGTGACCAAGGGGAGCCTGCTATACCCTTGCCAACACATGGGCACTGAAACTCTTCTGAGAGGCTATTCGCTATGCAGAAAATACATTACACACGCTCCAGGGTTTGGGTTTGTTGACTGAATTTAGAATATTTAAATTAAAATTTGATTCAGTAGAAGTCTTGAGGGAAATTTAAGCGAATTGACAAATATAAAACAAGCAAAAAATAAAAATAAAATTGAAATTGTCACTCCCAACCCTGAGACACATTCGTATCCCTTTGTGCTTCATGACTTTTGACCAAAGTCTTGGATGAAAGAACCCTCCTTTCCTGTCAAAGGCGACCTTTGCATTCAGCCTGCACTGAATGTCTCTACAAAAATGCTGTGAACTTGTCAGAAGATGTTTTGTGTCATTGTCAGCAGGTTGGGATGGTAAGAAGAGTATCACAAAAAATGTATTATGCCTTCCAAGTGGTGTCTCTCTGGAAACATAATGCATTATGGGTCTGTGCTCTTGGTGATGGTCCAGGGATGTTCCGGTGGAGGTATTTCAGCCAGAGTCACCTTAAGGAACGGCGTTATACTTAAGAGTTGCATTACAGATTTAGTTGCCTTGTTTTATGTTGATGGTTTCTTAAGGTGGCTCGTTCTCCTTCTATACCTCAGTCCAAAGTCAGGTCGGCTTATGGTCAACCAACTGCACTGTTATGAAATTGTGGGTGGATGCTGACATGCATTTGCCTGTAGTAAGAATGAATGTCTACATCATGTATGTATTAGCATGCTCTTAAGGGAAGACTTGTTGAGAAGAACCACTCTACTGAAGTCTTCACTGTGGGGATCGCTGTGGCGTCCCTCAGAAGTACCTTTCAGCATGTGTTTGGGTGTCTTTTATGTGCATGGAGGACCCGAAGCAACAGGAACCACATGTCCCTTTGTCTTGCTTTTAGTTTATTTCTTAGTTTCTCGCCTCTTCATATACGTCTTAATGAAAGTGGCATGTCTGTGAATGCTCTGCCAAGTGCTTCTGTTGCTTTACAATGATACTTAATAGTTGCAATGGTTTATTTAAGCTTCAGAAGTACATATGATTTAATAATCAGAGGCAGTTGTTGACGATGTGATAGACTGTTATATCAGCCAGGCCATTTAATTAGCTGCTATTTGACTATTTTGAGAGCATCGTCCAATAAGCCTGCCCACTTATGAGTTCCTTTAATTTTAGCAAATTTGTGTATGTCTCAGTTCCTATCATCGTAAGATTTTAAGAAGTCTCTTATGTTCACCAAGGCTGCATTTCTTTGTTCAAAAATACATTTAAACAGAAATGTTGATAAATATTATTACCATTTAAAATAACTTTCTGTTAACATATTTTAAAATGTAATTTATTCCTGTGATAGCAAAGCTGAATTTTCAGCAGTCATTACTCCAATCTTCAGTGTCACGTGATACTTCAAAATCGTTCTAGTATGCTAAGAAACCGCATTTATTGGAAATAGAAGTACGTTGCAATGTAAAAGGCTTTACTGTCACGTTTGATCAATTTAATGCATTCTTGCTGCACATTTTTTTTATTTAATTTTACTGACCCCAAACTTTTGAACAGTAGTGCATATAGAAGCACTTTATTGGCCATCAGCCACCATGCTCTCTATTAGAAATGGCATTGACTATCTAATAAACCTCTTATCAGTCCACTACTAATGCTAAAGTAGTTTTTGATCCATTCCATGCTATCAACAAGTGCAGCACACAAACTCAGTTGACCCCATTATACAATTTTAATTACAAGGCCAGTTTAATTACGAGCACAACAGCTGAACAGGTCAGAAAAAAAGGACTTATCGTCCAACCGCTCAGTCCTCTAATGAATCAGCAGTTCAGCTCTAATGTGCTAGAGTGAATTGAAACAGACGTTGGTCTTGTGCAGGAGAAATGCCTTCAGTGATGACAGCAGGCCAGACAGGAGATGCCTCTGCACAGCATGGACCCAGCATGAACAGAAACTCCTCTAGTTTTACTTTGATTTGCTTGATTATTTTGTTTGCCACAGCTATTTTTCTTTTTAACAATCTGTTGATTGATTTGTCTGACCTTTTTCCCTTTTTGCATTCTTTCCTACCTCTGTCTACTTTAAAAGGTAAGGGAATTTGGGGATAATACTTAGAAAGTCTACTTGTGTCCTTGTATGGTTTTTGTTTGTGCATATGTGTTGGCATTGTGTCTCATTAGATCAGTTTTGTTTTCAAAAAACATGTTTCCGTTTATGAGAACACAGAATAAGATGTGCTCATAAAATATGTTTCATATCAACCTGAGGTGGTCTTTCACATTTCTTGGTGGAGAGAATCTTCTAGTCCCGTTTATGGTACCAGGGCTTTGGCGTGTGCTTGTTCACTTGATATAGGTGCCGTTTCATCGCCCTATGGATGGTTATTCTGGTCCTGTGACTCGTCTCAACAAGTGTTATTTTAATATTATTTATATACTATTAAAGTATTTATTAATATTTTGAATCAACTTTTTATTTTCAGTTTTCATTTTAAGTTTTAGTAATTTAGTTTTGTGTTTTTGTCATTTTTATGAGTTATATTAGTTTTATTTGTTAATCTAAATAGATTGTAGATGGTAATTTAATTTAGTATATAGTTTTATTAATTTAGTACCTGATCTTAAACTTATTTCAGTTAATGCCAAGGAAACAATTTCTTTTTTTTTCCAGTTTAAATTTTTCATCTAATATTTATATTTTATTTTATTTCAATTACTGAAAACAATTTTTAATATTTTGTTAGCAATACCATTACACTAAAGGAGCGACATTCCTATGTGAGGAACTATTCAGTTCATCAAATGTTTGTGCATTTCTAAGGTTTTTTTGTTTTTGTTTTCTCTCCTCATCTTTCAGCATGCAAAAGTTTACTGAACAAGAAGTCTGATGGCGTGAAGGTAAGCCCCACTCACGTTACTTAAGTTCTTGAATCAGCATTGGAATCATATAATTTTATAGTTTTGTTAAAGTAAAGAAATGCACAATTCTACTCCAGTTTTAATGTTTAAAAGATTTGTCCTGTCATATTGATTTTTCTTCTTTAACGGACATGTTAGAAACAGAACTGACAGTCAAGCTAACCGGCAAATGGTTTGCATAAAACCAAAGAGATTCAACACTCTCTGTTTCTAATTTAAAATGATTATCTGCTTACATTTTATTAGGCTGATATACTTCAATGTGAAGGAGATCTAAGCAAAAACCATTAAGCATATTTAGACTATTCATGATATTTGCCCATTTGTTAGTACTGTGTCATGGCAAAATCTGTTAAAGCAGAGAGACTTACTCAGCCCTGTGCCGTCTCTGTGCATGCAGTGAATCGTCTGCCTTTCACCAAGCAACCGAGAAGCAAATAGTGAAATGAAAGAAGTCTTATCAATAAATCGATTTCAGCAGTTTTAACACTTCAACTGTTGCCTCTGTCACATCACACATGGCTTTTCAACTTCTTGTGGTTGTTTATTTTTCTTCTCTCCTCTCTGTGGGATCTAACTAGCAGCTTTATTTTTTTCTGTGTTCACTGGCCTGTTTTTTATGCTTCCCTCTTTTGCCCTCCTCTGTTTCACCCTGTTCAGAAAAGGAAGTCAAGCTCCAGTGTTTATTTGATGGTGAGATCTGTTCCGTGTCTCTCCCCTTTTTCTGACTCTCCCTCAACACTTTCTCACTCTCTGGCTGTCTTTTTTTTTTTCTTCTTCTTGTTTGAGATGCTCGAGAGTTTGTTTGGGTCTTTTATTTATTTATTTTTTTGTCTCATTGTAGGATTTTGTGAGTCATATGATCATCAAATATTAACAGAGTCATGTTCACCCATTCAACTCTGTTTTATTACATACACACATTTATATTGTAAGCCTATTCTCCTTGAAACTCATTCTTCATTACCATTACATCTCAGTGCTTTCTTGGTTTGCCAGACCAGGGTTTCTCCTTGACCTAAGTTTGGTCTGTCTTCTGCAAGCCCTTGATACATCTTGTGAGCTTCCTCCAGCTCGACTCTTCACTTTCACGGGCCTTTTAGAATCAGTAGCATGTAGCCAATTATAACCAGGGCTGAAGTTTGCTCAGAGTGGACAAATGACTCTTACTTGGTGCTCTTCAATAGGAAAGAGAGAATTTAAATGCTATTGGAACAGACTGTCAAAAGACACAGACAAACAAGCCTTTCTCTCACTGGAACTCCCCTTTTCCCCCACAGTCCATAGTGTGTCAGGCCATTTCTGTTGCCATGGTAATAGCTGCAGTGGCTGTGACATCAGGTTTGTCCTCCTAACAAGTGATAAGCCCCTTGTTACGATTAAAAAATATTTTTTATTTGTATTTTTTTTATTGTGATGATGTTTAATTATCCATATGGATTTCAGTGAATTTTTTTCCCCTCGAAGAATAAATACATTTTCCTCTGTCGGTCAAGAGATTGAAAGTAAATTACTGCAGCAGCAGTTGATGTCTGTGAGTTAGACATGGCCGTTCTGTTTTAGCCTCATCATAGGGGAAGTTCAGTTCTACATTTTTATTATCTAACAAACATCATTGAGACGTTTGTGTATAAATTGCCATTTCTCAAAATGTCTTGAGTTTCTCCATCAGGTCTGGACATATGCACACCCTGACCTCAGTTTTACTCCCCTCTGCATTCATGGTCCGTATCAACTATTTGTGGTCTTGAAATCTAATAATAAACATAAAGGTCACCCAATCGTAGATTAAGTGATTCCAATTAGACTCTTGGATACAAGAATCGATCATCTTTAAAATCTTATATTTAGTTATACATTTTTAAAAACTTACATCATTGATTATATTATATTGTATTATATTATATTATGCTATTAGAAAAATAATAATATAATATTTGAATCAAAATATATATTATACGTTTTATATTAACATAAAAATATTATTAAAAGTTCTTTGTAAACATCAACATTTTTGAAATTGATAGAAAATTGACATCTTTTTCAGAAATGGGGTGATATAGTGGCAGCTAGTTTGTAGGTCATCCAATGAAGACTGAATGCATAAATAAAGCAGTTTCTTTCAAAAATCTCCTTTTTTTATGGCTCTTAAACTTTAGGCTGCTGTTTTGCTTCAGTCTGTTTGATCAGTGTTTGTTAACCTGTTGAATCTTTCTGTAAGGATTCTTGAACATTCTTTTCAAGAATCGTCTCTGTTTTACCGACGCCTCTTTTCTTTCTTTCCTATAGTCAGAGTTTGTTCTTTTTTTTAATCAAAAGTTGTACCCTGCATTGATTCACAGAGTCAGAGGTCTGAGCGTAAACTCTTCTTGCTGAAGCTTTTCACTGCATGCACTAGTGGACTATCAGGGTCTTGTGGCTCCATGACAGTAACATTGGCCTCTAGTTGTTGTTACAGTGCCAACAAAATAGTCTATTTAAATATTTTTGTAAATACCAAACACTTTATCTGTAGCGTTGAAACATTTCTTTGATTCTGATTTGATTCTATTTTTTGGCACTGGAGGAACTGTTGTATCCATCTTCATGGATATATTCTAATATATATAAATATATTTACACATTTATCAACACTGTAACAAATTCTCTCCACATAGATGTTTGAAAGATGCTTACATACACATTTACTGAATTCACTTTATTATTATTATTATTATTATTAAATAATTAAAAAAATAAAACATTAAAAAAATTTAATGATATGCTTTATTCTCTGTAGTCATATTTTATTGAACAGTTACAAAACCACTGCCCAATTGTATAGTATAACAATAAAGAACATAACCATGTAAAGGAAGCTTACTGGCTTCTTTTGTACAGCCTCCATGTTTTATCTTTGTTTTTATCAAGAACTGTAATGTGATTTACAGATGCATGAGAATTGCTTCATTATTTTTCATTTTGTACTACTATCCACCATCGGTAGTTTAAATCTGTCATTTCGTATAATCTACGTACCTCTCACAAAAACAAGACCATACAGTTGAGGGTCTTTCATTAAGTCAAGTACAGCTAAAACGGCTTATTTCATCAAAGTATTTCTGTGAGAGCTCAGTTTGTGTGTGAGGGTGTGCTGGGGTATATCTGTGCTTGTGGGTGGTTCTTTATATGTGTGTATTTGCTGATTTACAGTGTGCACTGTATATTGTTCCACATAGATAGACCCTGTCTGCAAACCTGTATTTCTATACTTCTTTTCCCGTCTTCCCACCATCCTACGATCAACCCTCCATCTTGCACATTGTCTCTTTCTCGTCACAGGGGTCTACAGAGAGCTGTAACACCACAGAAGAGGAGGACATGAAAGGTAGTAAAGGTACACTATCAACTCCTCATGTATTCTGCATGTCTTTCTCTTGTTCTCTGGGATCTACAGAAAGGGGGGGGTGTGTATTGGTGCAAATATTAATTAAAAAGGCCATTAGTTAGTGTATTAAAGAAAGACCCTTTTTACACCTGATATTTAGATCTGTCTTGTAACAACAAATTTTCTGGGCAGGGTCTTTGATTTTGTGATTACAACAGTTCTGTGCAAAAGATGCTTCATCAAAATGTTGCTTTCAAGACTATATGTATCTTTTGCCTAAGTGTGTCAGTAGGTAATATCAGTTTTAGATTTCCAAACATTCCTTTTGCAAATTGTAATTATCCACTGAGATTATTGTTTGACCAAGTAGTCCGACATCAGCTGGTATCGTTGAAACATAGATATGAGCTCTGCATCTGCAAACTTGGCCCTGGAGGGCCACTGTCCTGCAGAGTTTAGACCAAACATAATTAAACACACCTGAACCAGATAATCAAGCTCTTGCTAGGCATACTAGAAACTTCCAGACAGGTATGTTGAGACTAAAGTTGGAGCTAAACTCTGCAGGATACCGGCCCTCCAGGACACCTCTGGTTTAGACCTACCCTGAGAAAACTCACCTGCCTGCAACCTTCTAGTAATCCTGAAGACACTGATTAGCTGGTTCAAGTGTATTTGATTAGGGATGGAGCTAAACTCTGCAGGATACCAGCCCTCCAGGATTAAGTTTGCCCATCAGATTGCCCATTTTCAGATTGTACAAAAATGTATGAATGAGATTATATGAATTCATCTGAATTTGCCACCAATTCACCAAAATATAAAAGTTACGAACTGCCATGAGTGTGTTCCATTTACTCACCCTCATGTTGTTTTCATACCCATAAGATTTTAATTTATATCAGAAACACAAACGAATATACTATGAATGAAACCTGGCACATTTCTGTCCCTCCATTGAAAGCCCATTGATGTGTTACAAAGTTCATAAAGATGGTAATTAATCGAGCAGTTTAATCCAAGTCTTTTGAAGAGACACGATCACTGTATTCACGTATAAACATAGCTTTTATTCACGTATAAACATTGATCAACGCACATCAAATATGTTGTATATTGTACACTTTCTCAACACTTAAAGAGAAATAGTGGTAATGAGGGCCAGAGGGAATAAATAGATACAGACACAGGCAGTGAATGATTGACAGTGAGATTTATTCCTGTGCGGTGAAAGGACCTTCATGGCATGATAATAGCTTTGCGTGTGCATTGACATCCAGCTCATCAGCTGTAGATACATTGCTGGTCACTACAGCAGCAGCAGCAGTTTAATCCAAGTCTTTTGAAGAGACACGATCACTGTATTCACGTATAAACATAGCTTTTATTCACGTATAAACATTGATCAACGCACATCAAATATGGTAAACGGAGGCCCAAATGTGTTTTCTTGATGCACATGAACTAATGAGATTTGTTATCGAGTGTCAAGCAAGTACAGTTGAGTTTCCGTTTATCATATTTGATGAGCACCATGTGTGTGGATCATTGTTAATTTATTAATAAAAACCTTATGCATTTTATACTACAAATTCAATGTTTTTTGACTACCTCTGAATGTGATTTCAGTAAAAGGATCATGAAATGCTTTGGACAGACTTTATTACCAGGTGTAAATGGGGTCAAGGGTTGTACACTTTCTCAACACTTAAAGAGAAATAGTGGTAATGAGGGCCAGAGGGAATAAATAGATACAGACACAGGCAGTGAATGATTGACAGTGAGATTTATTCCTGTGCGGTGAAAGGACCTTCATGGCATGATAATAGCTTTGCGTGTGCATTGACATCCAGCTCATCAGCTGTAGATACATTGCTGGTCACTACAGCAGCAGCTATAGTGTAGTATAAGGCACCAAAACAGGGTCAGACTGACTGATTGCTATCATGAATCTGAAAAGACCTTTACAGACAACAAACACCGCTTTTGACAGAGCCTCTGTATCACATCACACAGTATGATGTCTAACAGAGTCACATGGTGATTTATTACAGCACGGCAATATTACACAGTTCAACTCAATTATACACAACCTTGGCATCATTCATCATCGGATTGGTCTTTTTGTTCAATTCGAAGTTATTCTGAGCTTTTATATTATCTTTTGACGGCTGTTAGATAATAAAACGTTATCTTACTTGAATCACTTCTATTAAAGTTTAATAGGTTTAGGTTTAATAGGTCACTAGAGCTTTAGGATCATTCATTACTTAACACTATAAGTACACACAATAACTGGGACCTAACCCTCAGAGACCCAAGCTTTTTTTAAAGAAATTAGTAATTTTATCAGCAAGGATGCATTAATTTGATTTAAAAGTGACAGTAAATACTTTTATAATGTTATAAAATAGTTTTCATTTTAAACATTTCTTTTATTCATCAAACAATCTGAGACTGTATCACGGTTTCCACAAAAATATTACACATCACAACTGTTTTCAACATTCATAATAAGAAATGTTTCTTGAGCAGCAAATCAGCACGTTAGAATGATATCTGAAGGATCATGTGACACTGAAGACTGCTGAACATTCGGCCATTATAGGCATATATTAAGTTTCAAGATAGATAAAAATATAAAGCTGTTATTTTAAATTATAATGATATTTCACAATATTACTCTTTTCACTGTATTTTTGATCAATTAAATGCAGCCGTGCTAAGTAGAAAAGACTTCTTTCAAAAATATTTAAAAATCTTACCAAGCCCAAACTTTTGAATAGTTGTGTGTGTATTTATATCAAACTGTTTAAAACACAAACTGCATAAAACTTGTCATCATGATGTTTTATCCATTTTTTGTTTTGGGATGAATTTGGAATAAAATGTTAGACAGTTTTCATAATCGGGTTTCAAGGTAACAAAATGTACCTGTTTTATCTCACATTTATTTGTTTATTAAGTATTTAATTGCTTTAAATAACTGTTGCAGTTCTTCCAACAGTGGGTCTCTGAGGGATAAACCTCAGAAACCATTCACTTGCGTCATAGCAGAGAGATCTCACATTCTATACCAGTGTGAAAATACTGTATGTCCCAGACAGAGAAGTCTTTCAGCTTTTTCTAAAACTCTGTGTAAATACAAACAGTTGTATAACATGTCCTTGTATAGAGGTATTAGAGACTTCAGGGTTTAGAAAATATTGCTTATTTTGAATTTACTTTTTTTCACATAATTTTATAACTTTATAGTAATTGCTTTTTGCTTTTAAGTTGCATGAACATTGTTTTAGCATGTTTTTTGTGTACTCTATTGTGTCTGCTGTTGTTATTTTTGGATGATTATCATGCAAATTATGTCATCATTTCATATATAAATATAGCACAAAAGCCACAACAAATGTCACATTTTCCCCCCTAATTGTCTGTCAGTATCGGTGGGTGGGGCTAGCAATGACAGTGCAGTGGGGAGCCAGTGCAGTGCCTCTGAGGATCCAGCTCCTCAGCCCGAGGCCTCTCCCCCCTGCCCACCGCCCAGTAAGTCAACTGCTACAGCAGTGACCTTATAAGCTGTTTCTACAACTCCCTCTTGGACTCATCTGATCTCTACCTCACATTCTCTGTCCCACTGTACCCACTGCTAACTTAGTTTCTCACCTTTCTAACCTTGTCATTACTTAAAGGGGTGCTATTATACTTTTTCAACTTTAGTTAGTCTGAAATGTTGTTGTTTGAGCAAAAAAAATATCTGCAAAGTTACATAGCTCAAAGTCCACTTCAAAAGGAGATATTTTATTTAACAGAAATCACTTTTCAAAAACTACAACGAACGACTCGTTTGGACTACAATGCATATTTTGGGATTTGTGATGTCACAAATATTAACGAATGGGACGAGACCTGGTTGAGCTGCACTAGAGAAGGCAACGAGTGTTATCACTATGTCGGAGTCACAATCATCCGGGTCTAAATCGCGCTCAAATTGATTTGATTTTGACGCAATATTTACACTGAAGCTCGCAGGCAGCTATGGTAAGGGGCGTGCCATTTCCCGACCAGGCGCCGAGTGCTGCCAATCACAACACACACTGGCCCAGCTAACCAATCACAGCACATTTCGTATTTCAGAAGGCGGGCCTTCATTTGATACAGGAACTATTCGAGTCGTTCGTGCCAGACTGGGGAGAGAGGTGTTGTAATAATGTAAAATATGTGAAAAAGAATTTTTTTTTTTCGAACAACCTAGTATGAAAGCCTGTTCTACTACACCCCCAAAACAAAATCAAGACTTTGTAAAAGAGCATAATAGGACCCCTTTAATATGCTACAAAATTAATCTGGCTGAGATGGACTCACTGGAATTCTACATTGTTAAATGCCCTAGTTTGGTATCATTATGAAAGGGGTCATATGATACATTTTATTTGTATTATTGATGTATTGTTTTTATTAGTTTTGTGTCCACAAAAACATTAGTTCAGTTTATTTTGCACCCTGTCTCTTACCCTTGATTTAAACAATTTTTGTTGCTCTGCCATTATGAATTGTCCACTCAGACATGGGCAGCATATTTGCTGCTCAGATGTGAAGGCATAAACGGATATTATATAAGTATACTGAATACTGTATTTAAAGTATTCATCTGTGTCTGTGTGATGCAGGAAGGTTGCGAGTGTTTGGATTGAGTCGTTTTAGTAAATGTTCTTTTTGTACGGAGTAGAAATGAAGAGTTAAAATTTAAGTTACAGTAAGTTTTTGTAGTATAATATGAATAAAAAATCAAGGAAAATTTGATTCCTTATGATATGACCCCTTCAAGACAATAATGTTGTCATTGTAGTACTTAAAAATAAAAATGCATGCCACATGATCTGCTGTAATCGGCATTGTACATTTATTAGCACAATCGAGGACAGAGATCATCACCTAATTTTGAGTCTCTCGCAGTGAGTCTACCATTTTGCCTTGTACTCGTGTACATCCTCACCTCTGACATGGAAAGAATTGCACTGACCTTCTCAGTCAGAGTGACCTTTTCATTTATTTATCTGTGTGACACTGAATACTTTGAGTGTGACAGATGAGCAGAGGGCCCGTGCTGGGACTGTACATCAGTTATTCTCCTTTGAAAATGTGTGTTCCGGGCCGGAATGTCAGTCTCTGTTTTAGTTTGTGAAACCCACCCACTACCAGTTTACCCAATTGTATTTCGGCACCCCGGGTTGGCGGGAAACACAGCGTATTTCATTTCAGTCATGGAAGCTGGCAAACGAAAGTGTTGGTGTCGTCAATCTGGCAACCTGCGTGTGCTTCAAGTCTGAGGAGGAGCGACCGGGTGAAAAAAACCCTCTCCAATATTTAGAATTTGGACTGCAATACCTAGTTCAACCACTCGGTGTCAATCCTACATACAGCACCTTTAAGTTTTGTTTTGTTTTTCTAAATGTAAGTCCTGACATTCCCTCTGGCTTTACCAAAGTCCCAGCAGTTCACACCCTATAACAGTTCTCTAGCGAAACATGTCAATCCGAAGGGATTATTAGCTCATGCATGTGTTAATCTGCGATAACAACCGGCTGGATGTACATTATCCCTTACATATAAATCATCCAAGACCCCTGCTTATACTAAAATCAGGGTCCCTAGGAAAATAGTGCTAGTCTTGAAGGACAGCACCCCATTCACAACTAATAGTATGCTGAGCTGAATGTGAGATATCAAGAGCAAATAGTTGGGAACAAAAAGTTGGTTTGCGATTTTTAAATAATGGATGTGGATAAAACTTGATTGTTCCTTCTATTCCTCCATACACCAGCACGAAAGCAGGAGATCATTAAAATCACAGAGCAGCTGATTGAGGCCATCAACAACGGAGATTTTGAAGCTTACACGTAAGTACTGTTTATATGTGCTGTTTTCATCTGCCATACCACTGATTATACAGATTTGTTTGCACTGTGCATTTTATGGATTTTCATCATTTTTGTTGGTAGATTTTGAAGTACTTATAAATTGAACTAAAATAATGCTTTCTGGGGTATAACATGCATAAGTGATGATTTCATACATTTCTGGAATAGTTTTCAAACACCTTATTTATGATGACGAAATATTTTTGAAAATCTTATTTTATCAGCATTTTAAGTGGGTATTGTATCTTAAAAAGCACAAGCATGTTTGCTTATAACATGCATGAAACATTTTATGAAATATTTATTTTAAATGAACAACCTGTTAAAATTACCAACAAACGAGTTGTTGACATTTTCTGTGGAATTTGAATCATTTTTGTAATAATGCGCAAATTTGTGCCTTTTAGGTAAGATTATGCCAATTTCCATACTTCCCATTTTTAAATGTGTAAAATTAAACATTCTAGATGTTTGGGGGGTATTGAGTCAAAAACCGAATAGTAGTTTGCATTGTCATCTCAGTAACCTTTACTGTTCCAGGAGGATCTGTGACCCTGGCCTGACCTCTTTTGAGCCCGAGGCACTTGGAAACCTGGTTGAGGGAATGGACTTCCATAAGTTCTACTTTGAGAATTGTAAGCCCCATGGTTTTTAATGTACTAGTGTCCAATAAAGTTGTATACATTTGCTTGCTGTACCTATTAATAACATGCTTAATAACATGCTTTCTGCAGGGCCAATGTCCTGCAGAATTTAACTTCAACCAGCTCCAACACACTTGCCTGGAGGTCTCTAGTGAGTTTGAAGACCTTGGTTAACTGGCTCAGGTGTGTTTATTTAGGGTTGAAGCTAAACTCTGCAGGATAGTGGCCGTCCAGGAACAGGTTTGGACAGCCCTGAGTTAAAAGGTATTAAAGCTAACCTGTTAGGTGTAGATAACTGAATATATCTTTGTCTGCTGCCTGTGTTTGACTACAGTGCTGAGTAAGAACAGTAAGCCTGTGCATACAACCATCCTGAACCCTCACGTGCACCTGATTGGAGAGGACGCCGCTTGCATCGCCTATATCCGACTGACACAGTACATGGACAGCCAGGGCCGGGCACGCAGCAGCCAGTCGGAGGAGACACGCGTGTGGCACCGCCGAGATGCCAAGTGGCTCAACATCCACTTCCACTGCTCTGGAGCGCCTGCCGCACCTCTACAGTGAATCACAGAGGGCAAAGGTATGGATTGACAAACACCTTAGTGCCAACAAAACAAGTGAAACATTATTTAGTATTTTTTTATATTCTCTCCATTAGCATGCCTGAATACTAAAGCTGATTGGAGCATTTCTTCTCCGTGCACGTCTTGCCGCCTGGAGCCCGGCCAGAAGAGAACCTCTTGAAGTTTTGAAAACGTGAGGGAAAAAATTGACACAACTAAGAAATATATTTAAAAGCGGCCACCACTTCAGTCCAACTCTAGCTAGATGTGGGGCGGGCGGCCACGGCAGCAGCCCTGCCTTCTGGATGCTGCATGCTTCTAATGCCCACACGGGGCGCTGTATTGTCTTTACCCATAATCCCATAATGTCTGCTGCCCAACATTCGGAAATGGTGTTTAAAAGTATTAGTAATATATTGTAAAATACTGAGATCTTCACTTGTGTAATTAACAGCCAGTAGAGACGGAAGTTAGAATCAGAAATGTGAATCGTTGAAGAGCACACGCCGTTTTAAGGGTAAATGATGTGAGTTTATTACATTTAAGAAAACATTTTTCTGTTTTGTTTTTCTCTTTCTTTTTTTACGCAAAGAATGTGGTGGCATGGCATATCAGAGGGAACGAAAAAGTGTATCAGACGTTGAAGCACCAAAGTGTAGACTCTAGACGTTGAGAAGAGGATGTTTTAATGTTGCTTTTATTTTCTTTGAAATTGAGGAATGGGGTTGGGGAAGATTTTTTTTCTGGCTTTCTGTCGTGTTTTGGTGGATCTCTTGGTTTTTATCTTCTGAATGATGCGGTATTTGAAAGTATTTTGTGTTTTCAAGACAATTGTTTTAAAGTGGGACACGATTTAATATAGATGTGCATAAATAGATATTTATAAAAGAGAAAGGACAAAACTGTGTGTGGTGTCCGGGGGGGTGATGTGTGTGTTTGTGTACTTATAAATGTTTTTTCTTGGGTTCAAGATGCTTGTTGCTATGTAGTGTTTTGCGTAAATCTTCTTAACACACACTTCCACATGAGGCCTGAACTCAAGTTGGGTTGGTTTACTTGCCTTCCTGTATGTTTGCACCCATAACCTCTAGGCTCTCTGAACCTGAAGTTGCAGAACCCTCACTTTCTTTGATTCGAGTTTGTTGTATGTCTCTTGGTCCCCAGGGGGCGCTAAACACTATACACAACATACTCATCATAACCCTTGCTCTCTCTCCCAGAGTTACTCTGCTCACCTTTTAGGCTTCCAGCTGCTGTGCATATCATTTTTTTTAGACTATAAGCATGTCGAGAAAAAAAAAAAAAATTGAAATGGCCTGTACTGTTTTGCACATAAGCTTGAGACTCTATGCTGTTCTGTTCACTTTTTGTGGACTGCTTTGCAACTTCAGGTTATGAAATCCATCCTTAGGGGTCCGTGCTCTAGAAGAAGACCCAAACGGTCACATTATCTCTCCATGAGTATTTGTACACTTGTTCTGATGCTGTTTACGTTGTCTCATCATCATACTTTGTGACTTTAAAAGACTTGATTGTGGTTTGTTAAGATCACCTGACCATCTATAGGCAGGGATTTGAATGAAAATGTCTTGATGAATGCAGTTCCATGGTGTTTTGGGGTCCATTCTATGGTAGAATCTGTTCTGGGTATGTTGATCTTGTTTTATTTTATTTTTCTCCAGTATAACCTGTAAATACTAATGCAGATCATTGATGAGGGATGAATCGGGAACACTTAGCCATTCGTCTTCATCCAGATGCACGTAGACTCAGACTTTTCAGTACACACAACTCGCTGTTTTGGTAAACAACTCGCGTAGTTAAAAAAAATTTTGTTTTGGGTGTGTTAAAGCACATGGACACATTGTGCTCCCTTTAAAGCTTATCTTTGTGACATACATCTGAACACTGTTCTTGACTGTCTTATTATGTCAATTCCTGTGTGTGAATTGTGGAGGTTTAACGTTCCCCCTTTTATTCTGTGCTAAGCCATTTCTTGTGACATTTTACCTTTTAAAGTTGGGCAAACTTTGCACCCAACTCTATATGTTCAAAAAAGGGAGGAAAGAGAGTACTCCTACCCTAAGGCATCTTGTAAGCGAGTTCACTTGTCCACAGATGAAACCGTCTGGCACTGTGATGTCTGCCATATCTTCATACTGTCCCTGCTGTAGTGTGTCTTATAACAGTGTGTTCAGCCCTAGTCTCTGGCCACTTCTGTCACTCATAGTCCGTCCTCTCAGATATGAGTGTCCTTGTTTTAAAAAAAAAGTGCAGTTTAGTCAGTCAGTCACACATACATAAAAAATGTAAATGATTAAAAGATGTTTCCAGATGCAGGAGTTCATAGTTCTTGTATTTCTTATGACTGTTAGATGGACACAAACGTCTTTGTATGCGAAGTGAATAATTCCTGAACGAAATAACTCCCACAGCCAAACCATATATGCAGTTCAGCAGAAGGAAAATATGCATGTGTAACTTTCTGATAATAATTTTCACTGTCTGTGTTAATTAGAATTGAATTATGTATATATATTCCCTGCATCTTCAAGGTAGATGAAATGTGGCTTGGTTGGTTTCCAATGCTACAATCAAAAGCTAATTTTGTAAAAAAAAAAAAAAAAAAATTGACAGATTAACAAAGCTTTAGCTTGGTATGTTTCCCCATTCTTGTTAGTTTTTTGCATTGATGGGACTACATATGCTTATACTCTGAGGTTTAATTGGATGCTGGATTTTTGCATGAACATATAATTAATAAAACTATGAATTTAAATCTGTCAAGTGTTTGTTTGAATGTTGTTAAACCATCATAGCTTTGTTGTTATTGAAACATTTGGAAGTATTTAATAAAACATTTCAACATCACTGTCTTTGCTCTCCTGCTCAGCGTGCATTTGAAGTAGAGACGAACGCAAATGCGTGGACTTTGCAGTTGCATGCTTAACTGATGAATTCTGATATTTCGGAAAACAAGGATGTACGAAATTGAGCTTGCACGACTAGAATCACCCACGTAGGCTACTGTACCTGCCTTCATTGGTTTAAACAGAAATGTCTTATTTATTTACTACATTAAGGCAATGTTGTCTGAGTAGCTCTTATTTCATCAGAATCACAGCTGTCACCCAGCATTTTCATGCTCACTAATGCTGCATTTATTTGATCAAATATACAGTAAAAACGGTAATACTGCAGTTTAAAACAACTGTTTTATATTTTAATATATTTTAAAATGTAATTTATTCCTGTGATGCCAAAGGTGAATTTTCTCCAGTCATTACTGCAGTCTTCAGTGTCACATGATCCTTCCGAAATCATCATATGCTGGTGCTCAAGAAACATTTCTTATTATTATCAATGTTGTAAACAATTCTTTGATGAATTGAAAGTACAGAAATGTTTCGTCTAAATGTCTTTTAGACCTGCTGGTGATCAATGTCTAAATCCTGAATGTGGAAATAAAGTGTTACTAAGTCTCTTAATTTCCTACTCGGAAAACCTTATAAATTATAAAACGTAGGAAAACCTCAATTGACAGTAATCTAATTCCTTGACCACCATTTACTGAAAAAGTTACATTAAATTTTATGCGCTGTTTTTCAATGAGAGATTGTAAACATAAGTCAAATTTCTTTCGATTTCAGACTTAAATCTACTTGTTGCTGTTCTGAATTTGTCAAAAAGCTTGACCGCTTGGCAAGAGAAGCAAAGAGCTATTTTTATATCAGTAATGTACCCCCCCTCCCTTTAAGCCAGCGCTGTGAGTGACAGCACAGCTGTGGTGAACTAGCTTCTACCTTCATCCAACACAAGATTCCAGTGCACAGGGAGACGCTGGGTATCTTCTCTTTCCCCTCTATTTTAGCTTCCTTTATGGCTGCGCCCCTATCACCAGCATCCAGCTCAGGGTATGGGAGGGGTTCTGTGTGCATTCGTATTCGCGCAAGAGCAACTAGAAGGAACCCCAGGACATAGTTGCAGTAGTAGTTGGCTTCTTTAATGGGGCCCTGAAATAACATGGACCGTAGGTACTAAGGGCCCCCACGCCAACAAACGGAATCAAAGAAGCAAGCACAGACTGCACCATGGTGGCTGAGGAAGTTATCATCACCCTATCCGGAGGAGCACCATGGGGCTTCAGACTACAGGGAGGAATCGAGCACCAGAAGCCTCTGCAGGTTGCCAAGGTAGGATTGCCGGGAAACACAACAATGAACGAACTGTACCTCACTTTAAGTCTTTTAGTGTTATTTCAGCCCACAGTTCTTTAGTTCCAAAGAAACTTAAGATGTTTAGAGCCACCTGAAGATGTAATGGACACCAGAAGCACTGGCCCCTGCACTCTTAAGTGTGGTGTGGAACTGATCCTCTACCAAAGAAGCCAAATGATTCACAGAGCTGTGAACTTTCAAGTACCATTTGAACTGAACATTAACCCCCTTAACCTTTGAGTCCTAGGTAGCTAATGTGCACCAATTGTACATTCTGTAATAGTAACAATGCAAGAGTAGATTACCAGTAGCAAGCCAAGCTTGTAGAATAAAACTATGTAAAACGAAGAGGAACTGAAGTATTTGCTTTTGTATCTAGCTGTTACTATGAGGAAACAAGGTGTTTTTATACTACATATAATTATCTGATACTGGTTTCTACTGTGATTTTGTAATTACTTTGTAAATAGTAGATTGTGAGCCTGTTCTATATTATAGATTAGAAATTATAATAATATATAAATAAAGGATGTTGAACTTTATGCTCTCACACACACTGTATTACTGTAGTTTATGACTTACCTTAGCCTTTGAGGATTCAGGTCATATTTAATAACATTTGCAATCATCTTTCTTCCAATTCCAGCAGACTTTGTTTTCTTTACATAGGATACAATGTCCTGTATTTAATGCATTTATCAACTAATGATAAAGTTGCTTGTTCTGGTTGATGGTCATGTTGTTGTCACGAATGTTTGTAATAGTTTAGGAAATAAAAATGGCCTGGTTATGTATTTTACTTTAATCTGACACCTAAACTGATCATTCAAACCATTAGTAACAATGGAGTATTATGGACTGTTTTCTAGCTATCTATCTATCTATCCTTATCTGATCAGGGTAGTTTGATACATCCACTAATCTTGGCTGTCATGAGGAGTGTTGATCTTTATTGGTAGCTAGATGCTTGTCATCAAAAGTGAATTAGATTAAACTAATGGTATGGACACTCCCCCATATCAAGATGCGGTTTAGTGACAGGGCAGCTTACAGATCCTGTTTCACCACTTGGTCCTGAATATAAGCTTTGCGTTTACAGCTGTATCCTAAAAACCACAGGCAACCAAGTACAGGATTAGAATTCTAGATCACTAACCTGTATGCCATGTTTTAGTCTGCTCTGCACAATCAAAGGCCAAAGGAGCACCCAGACTATAATATGTTCTGTTAACAGTATAGTGACTCAGGAGCTTCTTTCAGGGAAGTCGTGGCCTAATGGTTAGAGAGTTGGACTTGTAACCCAAAGGTCACAGGTTTGAGTCTCGGCACCGGCAGTGATTGTAGGTGCGAGGAGTGAATGCACAGCTCTCTCTCCCACTATCAATACCACGACTGAGGTGCCCTTGAGCAAGGCACCAAACCCCCAACTGCAAAATGGCTGCTCACTGCTCCGGGGGTGTGTGTGTGCACTTAGGATGGGATAAATGCAGAGCACTAATTCCGAGTATGGGTTATCATACTTGGCAGCATGTCACACTCACTTTCACTTAAAGAGCAGAGATGGGTTACAGTTCATTAACCCATCACAATGTCTATTTAAAAGTAAGTATTTGTAGACTGATTATTGCATCCTCAGCAAAGCGTGAACCTGTCAGTGTGAACAAAACCACTGAAATCAGAGCCTGTCCTCCTGTTAACAGTATAGTTAGTATAGTAAATATTAAGATACAATTATTTGAAGTATTGTGAAGAATGTTGCACATTTCTGCTGACTGATCCCATTTGATATTAGCAGATTTGTTCATTGTTTAAGAACTAGGCTATATTTTGAATATATTTCATACTGACTTCATGGACAACTATGGTGGCTCAGTGGGTAGCACTGTCGCCTCAGATCGAGATGGTCCCTGGTTCACCTGGTTGGAGTGTATGCTATGGTTTCCCTTACAATCTGAAGACATGCAGGATAGGTGAGTTAGAGAGACTAAGTGATGTTTTATTAACAAATTTTGGGAGGAGCCCGCACAGATAATTAACACGGCCAATTCATCATCAGTAATTACACCATCTATCCAACCAGCACGAGAGAACCCCTATAAATAATCAAAGCAGTCTTCGCTTCATTATCTCTAGTAATTCAGCAACCCTCCACCACTCCGACTCCTCACCTTCAGCCCGTTCCTACCCCAGCACGAGGAGGAGCACTCGGGGGAGTGCTCTGGGTCCGGGCTAAATGCCGAACTCGGACCCCTCTCCCCGGACAGCACGTCAAATACACATAACCTTTACTCAGTTTATTATATGTAAGTGTGAACTCGTGAAACGTGAACTATAGGAGACACGGACATAAGACAAGTGGTTTGGAGAATGGATGGATGGATGGATATAGAGTTAATGTTTAGACCAAACTCATACGTCACTCATTGTGATTCTGTGCAGATCTACTTTTAAAGATAGAAAGAATCTGAAATGTGATATCAATGCCTTTGTCTAATCTATGGAAAACATTCAGGGCCATTTTAAAAGACTTTTTGATCTATGCATCCATTATCAACTGACACATTTATCCTGTAGGTGCGTAAGCGAAGTAAAGCATGTCGTGCCGGACTGCGTGAGGGAGATGAGCTGGTATCCATCAATGAGAATTCCTGGGTGGTGCTCTCAGTCCCGGTCTGAGTGATACATCTGGGAAGGGGGCACAGTTGTTTGAGCAGCAGAGGAGAAGGGCTGAGGAGCATGCAAAGAAAATGGAAGCTGCGCAAGAACAGTTACAAAGCCAAATGCTGGGCATTGCCCTGAAAGAGACACAAGCACGTCCTCGACTACAGACACCGCAACCACAACCAGACCCATTGACGAAGCATAATGTCCAGCCACCACCAGTTGCTCCAAAATCTGCCAGACCTTCAAAAACACTATATCATGAGGTTCCACCAGCAGAGACACAAAACATAACACAGATGAGCACATCTCAAGCCACTCCCACTATCCCTGTCATGGTTAATGGAGATACTTCAAACACAATGGCACCAGTCCCCGCTGTGTTGTCCACAGAAACTGTGATGCCTCCACAACCAGCTCCTCTAGCAGAACTTCCTACTAGCTCTGTGTTAAACAGAACTGCCCGACCTTTTGCCCCAGGCTGCGTTACCAGTCGGGCAGCCACTGCTCCTGTTGTGTTTCGCCCTACAGTTAGTAAGAAGACACCCAGACCTGTTTCAGTGGCTGTGATTGCACCTCCATTCTCTGCAGCATCAGAAGAGCATGCCATGGGTGTCAACCCTGCCTCCTTCGTTAGCCAATTCACAATGAGTCAAATGAGTGCCGATGTCCCCATTGAAATGATACCCACACAGGCCTTTATGCCTGGAAAGTCTGTTCCTCCACCTGCTTCTGTATCCGTGAAATCATATTCTCAACCTGCTCTTTACTGCTCCTCAGTGGAAAACATCCAGGTTGCATCAGTGCCACCTCCCATAGTTCAAACCCAAGAACATAAATTTCCTGTAGAGGCTGAAACAACTCTTCCTTCAGCAATCTCTGTTGACAACACAGTGACCGTTGTGGCTCCTGTTATGGCTCTTGTTATTTCTCAGTCTATAGCGATACCAGCCCAACCCTCTTCTATTTTGACCTCTGCAGCTTCTGACACCCCCTCAGCTGTAACTCCGCTGTCACCTGTAGTCTATCGTGAAAATCATAGCCGGACTGGTATTCTTCAAGAGGCCTGCTGCCCTAGGGCCCACAAGCCAATGTTTAAGATACCTGACAGCAAGAAAAACTCACCAAACCCTGAATTATTGTCTATGGTGCAGAACCTAGACGAGAGACCCAGGCACGGATATTCTGAACCAGAAAATATTACTCACAACATTGATGACAACAGGACAAGAATGCCACCGCCTGTGGCTCCTAAGCCAAGGGTCATGCCAGAAATGTCACAGATCCCTGAGGCGGAGGGAAAAGGTGCAGAGTTGTTTGCTCGTAGACAGTCTCGCATGGATTTGTTTGTTGTAAACTCTCCACATCTGCAGTCTGCACCTCTACAACCCCAACAATCCCAATCAGTCATAGACTTGATTGAATCACAAAAAAACTTGTCAAACCCATCCCAATGGAAGTATTCCCCGAATGTTCGTGCTCCTCCACCGATAGGTTACAACCCCTTGCTGTCTCCATCCTGTCCTATTGGGGTGCAGCGTGGGGGTGCCAAGGTGTCTGAGCGAAGTTCCACAGGCAGTAAGAGTAGTTATGGTGTCCCAAAAGAAGGTATCAAAGCCTTGGACTTTATGAGAAGGCAGCCTTACCAACTGAACCCTGCAATGTTCAGTTTTGGTGGTGGCACTAGCACACCGTCTTCAGTCTCCTCCTATCAGAGGCAACAAAGGGAGGGCCACACTCTGACACCACCCAAGCAGGCCCCAGTAAAGGCGGCACGTGTGTATGAAATCAAACGATTCTCCACTCCCACCCCGATGTCAGCACCAACTCTCAACCCCACAGTGATTGTACCACGCTCACGGACCACACTTGGTGAGCACATCTCTCGTTCTGACATGACGTCCCCTCTACCTGAACCTGTACCCAAATCAACTCCGGCAGCTTCACGAGCCCCAGGCCTCCCAGAGCTCCCTAAAATTTCAGCTGTGCCCATCCCTCACCCCATGCCGTATTCACCCCCAGCTCCCATGTCAAGTATGTCAAACCTAAGCTTCTCTGGGCTTCAAGCTGCCAAACAGTTTAAGAGTGCCCCTGAGTTAAGTTCCCTAAAACCAGACCCCGTAAAGTCTCCTATCCAAGTTCCAAAGCCTCGCTTTATTGCAACACGTGTGGGTATTCAGCCCCGCGTCTGGAGGCCTGGAACACTTCCTCACTGATAATGTTACTTTACATGTGGGAGAAGCTGAAACATCTGCTTCTGTTACAGTCTCAAAATTCACACTTTTCAAATATGACTTATTATAACTTGAAGATACAAAAATATTTTATTCTCCATTTTAGATGAAAATATAATGTGGAGTATCCCTGATAGCACATGTACATCATGGAGATGTCCATTTGACATCTGCATTTATATCTGCAAGACTTATTTTTTAGTGTTTGCTCATCTGCAATACGTCTATTGGACGTTTCCTATCAGATGTCAAATAGACGTTTAGAAAATGTCTTTTAAGATGTTTATGATTTAGAATGTATGTAAAACTGACATCTTAAAACCATCTATCAGATATTTGTACACAGCAGATGCTTTCCAGACGAAGCGATCTTTAACAGACATCTTGTAGACGTATGTGTGCTATCTGGGATATTTGTTGTTTTGTTTTGAGACTTTTCAAGCTGAAAAATCCTGAATTTCTGCTAAATGTTCATCAATATGTTTAAAACCTTCAGTGTTGTTAATGAAATCTATTAAATTTCTCAGTGCATGTTCCTGTTCTTGTGAACAATTTATCTACGCTATTCCAAAGGAAAACATTGTTTGGCTTCGTAAACGTCAATCAAAGTGTAGCTTGCTCTTCCTCTGAACTGGCTCTGCTGATGTCACTTAGATGATGGGGGATGTGGGGAGGGGGAGCAATCTAGCTCGGGTTCGAACCAGGCAATTGAACCAAGTGTGAAAGCATCCTAACATTCGGTCTGGCTCCCTAGTGGTATGTAATGCCCAATTTGTTTGTTTGTTTGTTTGTTTGTTTCAATTCAGTCAGTTCCTAATGGAAAACATCAAGATGTGTCATACATAGTTTTTTTTTTGTTTGTTTTCTTTTTCCCAGTGCATATCTTATTTCATTCATACATTAGAACCAGAGTGAGCTTTTATTAGCCACGTGTGCGCAAACACACAAGAGTCGCATTACAGCAGTAAAAAAAGGTTGCAAATGTCAATTCACGTTGACTTTAAATGCAACATATGCTAGACAATGTGTTTGTGCAGTGCAGTGTTCCCAATTTTATAGGGATAAGGAAAAATACATTATGACAATAACACCAGAAAAAAAAACATTTGACATCAATTGGACTGAGGTATTTTAAAATATTTTCCTTCAAATTAAGTTTTTCTTTTGGCACCTTTAAAATACTAAAATGTGGTCACTTTGCTTATCTTAGGTCTAAACCTTGATCTACTTGACATATAAAAGCATGGAAAAATACCTAAGAAAAAAAAGGCAAGCTGAGGCTTTGTTTTGCTGAATGCTCTTAGGTCAATCAGAAATGATATATCTCCTGGCAGAGCCTGGGCTGAACGGGTGCATAAGGGTCACAGCCTATTTGTAGGAGCAAAGTAAAAAGGGAACTAGGCTTGTTCCTAAAAATGTGCTCTGACTCAATTTTTGGTCCTTATATCTGTCTATTGATATATTAAATGGATTACATTAATGAAAACTTGAGTTTTAATTTTTTTTATAGAAACATTTAAGTGGTCAAATCAGTAAGTGTTGGAAAGGTACAATGTTGGAGACAGTCCTAGAGAAAGACATGTAGGCTATCTGAGCACTGAAGCAAATCTGTCTCATGAAGACAGGCATGAAAAGTGCAACGCTAGCACTGTTCAGGATTATCAGAAGGTTAATTAGCCAACTGGCTTTGCTGGAATTAGTCAGAATACTCATAGCAACATGAAATATTTGAATGGCATGTGCTGCAGTGAGGCTGATGATTTTGGGGATGGGTTGTTTTCGGATGTGTTCCCAAAGTCCTCAAAAACATGACCGTGTCTTAAGAAAAAAGAGGCTTGTAACATTAGGGGAACAATGGATTAAGGTTCAAGGAAGGAAAACAGTTTATATCAATGTGTATTAGATATAGAGAGAGGATGAATAAATAATAATTGTAGTACTGGCAGGTGAGAATATTTCAGAACTCCTTTTTAAAATTACATTTAGAGATCGAATAAGAAGTTGATCTAGAGTAGATACAGTGTTTAAAATCTGAGCCACAATTTTGTTTGTCTTTCCAGTTAGTGTCATCATATTTTATTTTATAGACTAAAGCTTTACATTGTTCAGTGCTCTTAATTTTGGCTGTTGTACAAATCATTAGGTCAATATGTCTGTCTTGGTAAATCTAATGTGTTTAATGTCTCTGGTGATTTTATTTGTGCAATGCTTAAAATGAGCTCAGCTGAACTTTAGGACCCAAGTAATTCTAACTGAAAGTGTCTTGTATTTCTAATACAATGAATAGTTTCAATAAAACATGCTTGAAATTTCATATCATGTCTCTGTCTCAAGGCAAGCAACAAACTATTGTATGTAATGCAGACACAAACCCAATGTCTCACATGAATGCACTCAAACCTAATGATGTCTGAATTACTTTTTACAAAGGAAGAAAAGTCATTGAATTACTCTGATTAAGAAAGCCAAGCTCATTGTCTGACTCTAACATTTGAAAAAAATAATTAGCAGTGTCAAAGTGTTTCTTTTAGAAAGAATAAAAACATGTTTTATGGGGTGAGAAAGACTAATCCCCACATGGTGGCGCTTATGTCCCACTTTTCAAAAGTATGAAATGTGACTGCATATTTTAGTTTTTTTGTTTGTTTGTTTTTTTGTACAGCGTTCATAGACTTCTATCCTTTTTATACTGATCTAGAAATATTTGATATCCACTAAAACTAAATCTACCCCTAAACCCCCTTACAGAAATCTTTTTCAATTTTTATATTTTAGATAAACATGCTTTAGTATTTTTAATAATTTAGTCATTTTAATTATCCCCCCCCCCCCAACTGCTGGCTGGTCCCCACAAGATGACAAATGTCAGGTTTTACTATCCTTGTAGGGTCATTTGGTCCCCACACTGAAGGACAAACCTGTACACACACATGCCTGCAGATCTTCTGTTTCCTTTACAATTATTATAATTTCAAATCACAATAAATGCCATTTATACATGCCCAAGTGTATAATCAACAGCAAATGTGTCTTCTAAAACTCAGTAGTGGTGAAGTGTGGTATTGCACACTGCTGGGTGAGTCGACTACAGCTGAAGCTGGCACCATTCTCATGCATATGCTGTCCTCCTATATTTAGGGCTGATAATGTTCAGCCACTTTTTATGGCTGCTCCACACTTTCCCTGCTTAGATTCCATTTATGAGTGGATCCTTCCTGAATTTACAAATATAGAGAGAATCTGACGACTTCTCGGGTTCATACGGTGGAAATGATGTAAATGAGAAGAGTGATATAATAAGCATTGCCTCTGAGACAGGTGGGAAAATGTCAAAAGAAATTATACTTTTTGACTGGCAGAAAATGTATGGAGTAATGAAAGAGAATTATATTATTTATAGGAATTTTACTGTACTGAATTATTGTATTATATATATATATATATATGTATGTGTGTGTGTGTGTGTGTGTATAAAAACAGTACAGTAAAATTCTTTCTTTGATTACAAAGCATAACTCTACTGATGTTAAATTAGACCCAAACGGCTACATCAAACTTGAGAGACTGCAAATTTGTGAATTTGCCAGTCATTTTCTCATTAATTCATATTAATGTAACATGGGCTGCCCTGTCCAACACTGACCTCTTGGAGTGCTTAAATCATTATCATAAAAATAAATTTAGCACAATTACGGGGCCCACTATTGGATTTAAAAGGTGTAAATCCTCTCACAAGTGGAAGGTGATTAACGAAAGAAGAAAAAGTGCAAATCTACCTCAGCCCTTTTGCCCTGTGCAGCTATTTGATAACTATATGCAATCACACAGTCTCTCTCCTTCTCTCTATATTTAGCCAGTGAAGCATCTGCAAGAAAGATATGAGTCTCTTGATATTCCCATCAGCAAAGTGCTGTGCAGACCAAATGCCCCCCCCCACACCCCTCACTCAGATCTGCCATTCAAGTCTCAACTGGATTTTGCACACCTTGGGTTCTTAGTCCAGCCACAGGTCAAAGGTACCCTGGAATTGGTAAACTTCTTAGCAACAAACCTTTTCCTATTTTCACTGTACCTTTGAGACCACTTCCTGTAAGCAGTCTAGAGCCTTGGTAAGTGGATTATGTGATTTTGTTCTGTCACTTTACTAATCGCACACACTGTTCAACTAACAGCTGCATGACGGCAGTGAAAACAAGATCAGCAGTAACTCCTGTTGCTGGTGTGATACCCACTCTAAAAGTTTGCAAGCACTGACGCAAACATTCTCATTTAAGTTTGGATTGATTGTAATATTCAAGTTTGAATACTCCAGCGCCTTTTTGCTGCCAGAAAGTGGAATGTGCTAAACACTCCCACTCAACCTGGCTGATGATTTTATGTGGAATGCAAAGCCTGTACTGTCCAGCTGGGGGAACTTAAGCCCGGTGGACCCCAGCTTGTGGTTATTTTACAGTGTGGGTCTGTAAAATACCCCCCCCCCCCCCCCCCCCCCCCCCCCAACTCAGACCAGCCCTGATGGCCGCAGATTCCAACATGTGTGCAATGTTTCAAGAGTTTTCGAGTATGTTAAGGGCCCCAAAACCCCTAAAAACCTTGAAAGAGAAATAATAATAAATATAGCTGCAAGCAGCGATGGCGGGCCCAAGCCGTCAGTGCAAACGCCACCCCGGAGCGTCTCACCACACATCAGTCCATGGTGTTGTTTCAGTTTGAGGGAGATTTCCTATTTCTACAAAGCATTAAGTAACAGTGTACATGTGTTTATGTGTGTATGTTTGTGACCAATCCTGAGTATCTGACAATAAAAACCAATGCCACGACTCGCCACTAAAAGGTCTTGCTTTAAAAATAGCCATACTGTATTGAGTTACAGTCAAGTCGATGCAGTGTTTGCCATTAACAGAGCCTTAAAAAATAGCAGATACACCATGTGCTGGAAAGCTAATGAAAAAAAATTAAAAGATAGGCCTAAACTGCACTTTACCTGGACCTCCATGCCCAGACTTTGAAAGTTAAAAAAAAAACTGCTTAAAGCTTCATTAATTAAAACGTCATTTTTTTAAAACTATGGCATGAGGAAAAATGGAACATGAAAATCAAAGAGCTAAATCTGGATATTTTTCAGTGTTTGATTAAATCTGTAAATAGATTTGTGAAATTTGGATTGAATGTTTTTGAGTGAGACAAACCAACAAATAGCACAAAATCACACAATTCATATGCATTAAATAGTTGCTAATGTTTACTGATGTCTGTGCTGTACCAAAATGATGTCACTGCTTGGAGAAGGATGTCATTACTGAGTTAGCTTTTTTTTAGGAATTTTATAAAAGACTATACACTGTAAAAAATGACCGTGAATTGAACAGTAAAAGACTGTAAAAATGCTACAGTAAAAACCTGTTAAATGGTTAACGGTAAATTCCCCTACTATATACGGTGAAAAACTGTATTGGACATTACATGTATTGGACATAAATTTTACGGTAGTATACCGTTTTTGGAAGTGAAAAATACCGTATAATTTACAGTGAATAACCGTAAATTGACATTCCCAGAATTCCCTGCGTTACATTTCAAATTTGATGTTGTTTTGTTGAAATAACTATGTTTCCTCTTAGTTTTTTCTTATCAGTTTTGTATATTAAGGTTGTGTGTTACACCTAATGTTGTTAAATGAATGTTTATTGCATTATTTCAGTTTCATGTGTGTTACCATGATGGTGTTTGGTGTTTGTGTGAATGACACTGTGCACCTTCTATATATGTTATTATTTAGAAGCTGCTTGTGATGGGCTTTGGTTCATCATGTGACTTTCTCATCACCACCTGCATTTGGTGGTTATCAGTGTATTACAAAGGTACAAAACAGATTTCAGTACTTCAGTAGGTTGGTATATTAACATTATATCAGTTAATGAAATTACGGTATTTAACGGTAAATTTAAGTTAAAACCGTAAAACCTAAAACGTTGCTACCGTACTTTTTACATTAAAATTCCGGCAACCACAGCTGCCGGTTTTTTACTGTAAATTTTACGGAATTTTTTTTACAGTGTAGGATGGAAAGGGAAATTAGTGATTTTAGTTTTGTTTGAAAATGTTTGAATACAAAAAAGAAACAAAAATGAAGAAGCACATGGAGTATTAATTAATAAAGATTTTTTTCATTTTAGAAATTAGTAGGAATGAGCCGACCTCATAAACCGTAAGGTTTTTTTTATTTCTTGTCATTTCTTCTGCGATTCCAGAGTTTGCTTTTTTGTAAGGCTCATATACTAATTATTCTGTAAGGCTCAAACAAATCAAACACTGTAGTGAATTATATTTGACTTCATACATCTACTTGTCCTTGGATTCTGAGGAATGTGAAGTTGTTCATTACACTCAAAGTGTTTGTTCTTCTCTATTATTCCTCAGAGATTAACAGTGTCATCTGCAGAGTTTGCTTACAGCACAAAAATGATACCGGTTAATTTACTTTCAACTAGAAACTACTCCAAACTACTGCAAAATGAGAAGACAGAGATACATTTTAGCATATTATTAAATCTACTCTGATCTCTGTTTTCCCAGTCTGGAATCATGCCTCTGTCAGGAACACCAGCTCCACCCAACAAGAGGAAAAAGCTCTCCAAGATCATCACTGACCTGTCACACATAACCCAAGATGGTAAAACACCCACAACTTCAGCTTTGTGCTTGATTTTTGCATAATCATTCCATACTTCCAAACTTATTAGGCAGCTTAAAAAATGTCACCTGAGATGATACTTTTTGATTTTCAGGAAAGTTATGGTTATAAAGTAATGAAAGGGAATTACAGTACAATTTGAAGCTACTGTTTTCTGTTTTAATATATTTTATAATGTAATTTATTCAGAATTTTTAGCAGTCATTATCCAATCTTCAGTGTCACATAATCCTTTAGAAATTATTTTATTATGCTGATTTGGTGCTCAGCTGTTATTGGGCACTCAGTCATGAATAATGGTTATTATTGTTACCAGTTTTTTGCTGCTTAAAATTTTTGTGATTAATAAAAAGTTCAAAAGAACAGCATTTATTTGAAACATATGTAGCATTATAAATATTTACTATCCCTTTTAAATCAATTTAACACGTCTTTGCAGAATAAAAGTATTCTTTTTTTTTTCATTTCTTTTTTTTCTTAGCTTATTTAAACCAAACTTTTGAAATGGTAATCTTTCACAGTTTCTACAAAAATATTAAGCAGCACAACTATGTTCAGCATTAATAATTAATAAGTAAGAAATATGAGTACCAAATCAACATATACAGTAATTTTCATAAGATCATACAGAAGACTGGAGTAATGGTTGCTGACAAATCAGCTTTGAAGAATCACAAGAAATATAGTTTAAAATAACATGCTTTTAAACTGTAATAATATTTCATAACATTATCCACTGTATCCCCTGTCACTTGGTGAGCAAATCATGTCAAATATATACTGTATATATTCATGTCAAATTTTAGAAAGCTTTGCTTAGAATAACATGATACTAAGGTCTGGGACTGAATAACAGGATTTTCATATAATAATAATAATAATAATTCATTACATTTATATAGCGCTTTTCTAGGCACTCAAAGCTCTTCGCATTGTCAGGGGGTATCTCCTCATCCACCACCATACATTATAATTATATAATTAAAGAGTGTGTTTGTTTAGCCTTCCTGACTGGTGAGAAGGTGTCTTCTTTGAAAGATGTTATTAAAGAGATTAGACTATGGACATGCCATAACACAGATAGTATACAACCCGCTCAATCTTATAAGGTTTCACAAACTGTTTATTGGGAACATCATCTTCATTTCAGGGCCTGTCACTAAGGTTTCATGCTTTTGGATTTAATATGTTTTAATGAGGAGTATTATGTCAGCAACTACATGTATCTTGTAGATTTCATAGCTGAAATGTCAGCTGTGTCTCTGATTATTACCGGAGAACCTCTCCCTCCCCTTCATCATTATAATCATGGGACATTTACTCCACTGAAAGAACATTACATAAGTGTCTCCAGCCGAAATTAAGTCTAATTGATATGTTCTTTTTTCATACTTTTGAATGTGAGTGAAAAATTGTTGTTGTGGAAGAATGGACAGACTCTTGCAATCCTGATACATGTTTAAATGTTTTTCCTTAAGGCAGCATTATTTTGATATGAGGAAACAGTCACTTATTCCATGCAGGGATGTTAAATTTACTGCATAGACTTGATATCGTTCAAATGATTTTATTGTTTACATATTAATACTGTTATGAACATTTCCAAGGAACTGTGGGTGATTTTCCAGCACAAACAGTGGGTGGTAGGATGACTAATAGCTATTTAGTTACTGTTATGATTACAATGCAGAAAAAATAGATACATCTGTATAAATATGAATGACGACACTTGATACAAGAGAATCCGGGACATTTTTTTTTTTTCTCAAACATGGTTTGATAATACCACGCACAGTTAAAGTACATGAGAGTATTACAATGCTGATTGCACTTTATGTTAATATACATTTCATTTACTAGTTTGCCAGATACTTTTGATCTGAAAATTGATTGTGGTGTTTTGTAAAGGAATTAGACTCAGAATTCTGTCATTAAATGATAAACATAAAACTAGCATATTAGTGAATAACGACTCTTTTTGTTTCCTAGAGTATGAATCAGAGCCTGAGGCCTCAGAATTTGACTTGGGGAAAAAGATCAGGGCACCCAAGGATATCATGCTGGAGGAACTATCCCTAATGAAGAACAAAGGCTCCAAGATGTTCAAGATGAGGCAGATTCGTGTGGAGAAGTTCATCTATGAGAATAATCCTGACTTCTTCAGTAGTGAGTCCATGGTAAGGCAGGCAAAGAGCTATCAACATCTGTGTATTTGTTGTCAGATTACTTGCTTTAAATGATCATTATTCCTAAATATCAGTGTTCTACATTCATCCTATTCTGATTCTTTATTTCTTATTTAAATGTAACATTCTAAGCGTGATTTGAATGCTGATTTGGAAACTCTTCCACTAATTATTATGTTACTCTGTGTAAAGGATAACCTCCAAAAGTTCGTGCCCAGCCTAGGGGGCCAGATGATGGATGTTGGTGGCCGCCTGATTGGTGGACAGATGGCTGGCCAGGCTGGTGGAGCCGGCCAAGCACCAGTACCTCCTCCTAAACCCGGAAGCTATGGAAAGGGAGCAGGGGGTGGGCTGCAAGCAGGTGGGCTCGCTGGAGGTGCCGGAGTGGCAGGAGGAGCAGGGGGGAAGGATGGTGTGTCAGGAGATGCCTCACAGAGTGAGTAGGAACCCAAATGGAGACCTTTATACACTAGCCAGCTCACCCACACTAGAAACTGCCATGGAGACTCACCATGAAACTTGTGTTAAACAGGGTTATTATCGTTACCTAAAACTAAAACTACTCTGTAAACAAAACAAAACAAACAAAAATAAATAAAAGTAAAAAAACTACTGGTAATTTTCTGCCATTAATTTCAATAATTTTATGGCCATTTCCGTTAACCGTAAAACACAATGTAATGAAGTGCAAAATTCAAACTACAGGTAAAACACCTGTGAAAGATTTAAGAAAAGAAGCCCTAGATTTATGGATTTGTATTTTTTTACAGTGTATTAAAAACTGAAATAAAAAATAAAAAAAACATATATTAGATGAAAAACTTAAACTAATAGAAAATTAGAAATGTTGCTTTGGCAACTGAAGTTTAAGTTGAAGCAGTAAAATTAAAACCGAAATAAAAACAAATGAAACCTACATAGTAATATTTACAAACATAAAAAACTAATAAAAATGACATAAGTATATTACAAAATGTTAAAAAATTAAACTACAATTAAAATGTAAACTAAATATAAAATAAAAGCCAATTCAAAAACCAAACCAATGAAAATATAAACTATACAAATAAAGCTAATGGAAATTCTAATAGTATATAAATAATACTAAAATATTTTTTTTTTGTTAAAGGGACAGTTTTCCCATAAATGTAAATACTCGCCCTCATGTCATTACAATCCTTTTTTTTTTTTTGACTAATGACTTTCATTGTGTGGATAAAACCAGTCATACAGATTTGGAATGATGAGGGTAAGTAAATGATAGAAGACAGAATTAAAATTTTTGAGTGAACTATGTCTTTAACTAATGGAACACACACTTTTACTAATGGAATGCATTTACTTTCAATCAGTTTATATTTCTCTATAGGTGAGGAACGTTCTAAGTCTGCTTTGGAAAAAGCAAAAAAGAGGGCCGCATATGTGAATACATACGTTTCCCCTTGGGAACGGGCTATGAAGGGCAACGAAGAACTTGTAGCCACAATGAAGGCTCAAATGCCAGGACCCTGCTCTCAAAAGGAGCTGCGCAAATATAAGTGCTTCAACAGGTGCAGCTGCATTTCTTGGTATAGGCTGGGCAATCTGCCTCTCCTCTTTTCCTTTGCATGCAACAATAGTACTTTTTCAGACATATGGTTTCCTTTTTGCCTTTAATTGGTCAATCTCTTTTTAGGAGTGCTCTCCCTTATGGAGGTTTTGAGAAGGCCACACAGCTGATGACCTTTCAGCTGCCAGACATCGAGGTGGCCACTGAGGAGCCTGAACCGGCAGTGGTGTACCAACATGATATCGGTTCACGACCCTCTTTCAACCGCACACCCATCGGCTGGGCGGGCAGTGGTGAACCAGGCAGCATTCACATGGAGTTGGATACTATACCATTTGATGGGGAGACTGACGACCTGTGAACCTACAACCCGAACAAAAAAAACAAAAAAACAAACAAAAAATGTATACCTGTCCTAATTACCCTGCACTCTAATAACCAGATACACACACACCTGCGCACACAGTCACAATGCAACAATCCATCAGGAGAATGGCAAACCTCTCTCACTGTACATGTAACTTTGAATCTAAATCTGCCTCTGAATGTGAGCTTTAAACAAAGAAATGTATTTGCGGAGGATTTTTATTTTATTTTATTTTTGCATGAAGCGTACCAACTTAAATGAAGGAGTCAGGTGGAGACTGAAGTTTTGATTCGCTTGTTATGTTGCCAGACAAATGAGCATGATGTCTCTTCGGCAACAATGTCATGTTAGCACTCTCAGTGATGGACTGCTTGGCACATGCTGCTTTTTTTCTGTCACTTACATAAAGGTAAACAGTTTTGACTGCATAATCTGTAACCTCCCTTTAAATAAACTAAAGTTCCATTTTACAATTTCATTATGGTGTCCTTTACACGAGTAAATACAGATTATAGTCATGATCATCATGTATTTATGATTATAATGTTGTGGAACATACACAGTTTCTGCTATAGTACATTACTATTATTACATGTAACATGAGCACATTATGCATATTAATATACTAATCATATCCATGTCTTCACAAACATTAATGCAAAAATTCAAAAATAAAAACTCTAAACTACTGTCGTCACACCACTACATGCCCATTCTTTAATAAATGATTGATTGCTTATATTTTTGTTGTGGTCTTTCATGAATAAACTGTGTCGTTTGTGACTATAATTAAATTGGGAAGCATAAAGTGGGTCATAAGTATATTTGCCTGTGTTTTATGGTACTAATACTAACCACAGCCAGCAGGTTGTAAGCAATATTTCATGAGGACTTTCACAATCAATTTTATGAGCCAGTTATTTTTAGTGAATGAAAAATGTGCAATGCAAGTGTTCAGTTCTCGAACAAATTACTTGCATGAACCAGTTCTCTTTAAAGCATTAAAATAAATATATAAAATAACAATAACTGAATTAATGTGACTCACAAATCTACCGAACATGGAGGCTACTTCGTTTTTATTTTGTCATGTCTGACTCAAAATACCCAAGAACTGTTTCTTTATTTAAATATGTCTGAAATGTTTAGTATAATAGTAGGATAAAAAAAAAGACTGTCACCCTGTGTCATCGCTTAGTATTCTGGGCTCCTTGTAGAGTTACATGGCAAAGAATCATTTCCCAAAAATGTACTAAAAGTCGCTAATGGAATTGATGTCGTTCAAAAATGAACGATTCCCATTAGTACTTATGAACCCCTGTATTTACAACCATCCCAACTCCGTCGACACCTGAAACGCCAAACATCGCGAGAGTTGGTTGCCTTGGCTGCAGCACACAGTGACGCTGAGGGATGTTTAAGGTTTAGCGGCAGAAAATAACAGATTTTCACCCTGCCGACCAGCCAGGAGGAGGATGCATACTGCAAGGTAAGGAAACCCTCCTTTCACCATCCTATCGAAGCAGTGGCTGTTCCTCCGACATGAAAAAGGGCAGAGAAGACGTTTTGCTGTGTGAGTTGGGAAGTTAAGACGTAGCTGCTCTTCCACAGGCATGTGCTGATCTAGTAAACAAACATAGGGATGCATCACTGTCCGAACAAATGGATTTAATCATTTACGCAGCACGGCGTATTTCAAATCGGCGTTTTCTTTTTTTAATTTTTAGCCACGCTTCTCCGAGAGGGTTGTATTATAATACAGGCATAGTGCGAAGGAGACGCTAAATCTCACATGCAGTGATGTGCTGACGAAGCTGTGCACACTGTGCGTTGTGGCGAACACAACGCTGCGCATCTAGAGAAGTTCTCCACGTAGTAGAATAACCACATGGTCGAGCCTCGACCGTGTCGATGCATGCATCAATTCTATCATACATGGCAAATTACGCATGCATTTTCACATTTTTTATTTTCTATAACGTTTAAATACAGCCTACATCACAGAAAAAATGATTTTGTATATTTGGAGGTGATTTATTGATGGTCCCGTCTTACCCAGCATAACTTACCCAGCATAAGACCATAATATGCTCACCATTTTCAGTGACGTAGCGGTTTCTCATCTTTTCAACACACTTGATTGTCCTCTAGCCGCCAATGTCATCTGGTGGCGTTTCAGAGGCTGTGCAGGTGAGCGGCAGAGAGAGTGAGATGTGTAGGTCATTCAGGTGTGCTGAAAGACTATCTATCTATCTTTGTTAGTGCACTTTCAGCATCTCCATATGAGTGCATGAAGTTGATTTTGTGAAGTTTTGAACAAAGCATCTATCTGTGGTTCATTATTTTTGGATTTGTTGTTTGTCTGGAGATGGACACATCTGCTTTGAGATCTATTTATTCCTATTACCTACTGTTCTGAGGAAATTACAAGATGATAAAACCATAATAGTATTCATAAACTTTGGATTTTCTTCCTATATTGAACAGAATGATTAGAGTTTAATGAGTTGGTTTATTTGCGTGCACAAAAATCAGTTAGTTTTCAGTGTGTGATGGTGTGTTACATAAACAAGGAGGAGATGTCTCCATTGACACTGCGAAGAGGAGTGATCAAAATAGACACCCCTCCATCTAAACCTTCCCTTTATGTTCTCTCGTCACTCTTCCTTTAGCAATGTCTCTGTGAAAAGTAAATAAGAGCCCTGGCATGCATGCAAAAGAAGCCTACTAATTGTTATGTAAAATTGAGAAATGAATAAATTAACATACTGATGGTCACTCCTCGAGGGCCTACGCTCCCATGCATTCATCAGCAGACAGAGCCTTCAGTCTGGCTAATTGGTTGGGGGGTGTATGGGATTCCTGTAAATTTCACAACATGCTTTTAAGGGCTTATGACGGGAAGGGACAGAAAAGCCCTTGAGGGTAACTTTTATTAAACTTCTCAAGGTAAAGGAACATTTGAGCTGAGTGGGGGACATTCATGTGTAAATCAAAACTCTGTCTTCATTTGATATTAGCCAAAGTCTTTTCTTTGTGAGAGCAGTTTTCCTGCTTCATCAAGCCCCCAGTAGAGTCTGGCTGCAGATATGCACTCTCAGCTCAGATGCACTCCTCTCTCTGTGATGGTATATGCGCTCACTCTATGCAGAGGAAACCCAAATAAGCTGCAGTCTGTTCATGCCAAACAGAATTTAACAACAGATTGTCATAGAAACGCGTAATGATTCTACTATTTCATATACTCTTCCATATGTATGGTGAATGATAATTCTTCTCCATATAGATGCACTCATAATGATGCTGTCATGTTTTTCCTTTTGCTTTCATCAGCACTAGTCATGATGAACCAATCACAGTCATTTGTGATTACAGGTTAAGACAATTTACGGAAATGACAGGGCAGAGTCCCTTTTGTATGACAGGTACCAATACTTTTTTAGTATACTGTGTGTACATAAGACAAAAAAGTGACGGGATTTCTTTGCATCCCAATGGCACAATTTTTATAGTTTTTTTTTAATTAATTAAAAAAAATTTTTAATGGAAGGTAGAAGCAGCTTATATATGACTTTTTATGTCTGTGTAAATGCTTTTTTTAATGAACTTTGAGGATTTTATAACAAAAATAATAAGAGTTATTTTTTTCGTATAGTCTGCAGCCCAGTAAAACGTGTCATGGACAGTGAGGAGAATGTAATGAGACTGACACTGCTGCTGGCATTGCACATGTAGTTGGTTTATTGCTTTTCAGTTTGCAAGTCTCACAGCAGTCAGTGTAAATAATCTTGCACATTTGGACTGTCATCGCCTGTCAATATTACACAATATCCTACTTGCATGAATTGCATATTACAGACTAAAATCTTGAACAGACTGAATAAATTCCAATAAATAATCACACGTACGGTTATGACTTGTAAGTGGCAAAACTCTTCTACAAGAATAATGCAGCCAGACCCGCATTACTTCTTTTTCACAGTGATACAAGTCTCGCTATATAACGGCTTTGGTCATTTTCTAATGGACCGTTTCCCTAAAAGGTATTTGAACTTTTAATTCACACTTAAAAATGTATGAATTTTATTGCATTGGTAATAAAGTATCAAACCAACAATTGTGGCTTAACTGTCCAAATATGATTTGTAGCCACTGTGTCAGTGTGTCTTTGTAGGATTTTAATGGCTATGTGTTTTCTAGTTTTTGTCTGTATTGCCCTTATGTTTCTTATTCTTTATTAATTGTTTGTAGAAATGCTTTTAGAAAGCGAAATGAAGAAAGAATAAGGCTTTCAGCAGTCCAGCTCACTTTCGAGTGTTGCTCACACGCACCTGCCTGTTTCTCATTAAATTCTGTCTGCTGGCCTGTAGCTGATAGTGAGGCCCTCCTCTTACATGTAACCTGTGTGACAGTCTAAATCATTATGTAACAGTCTCTGAAGCCACAAGACTTTAAAAAACTTTAAACCTGCAAGGTTCTTTCTGTATAAATGCGTACAGTGAATTTTGAAGTTACTCAGTTAGCCATTACTCAAGTCTTCATGTGTCACATGATCCTTCAGAACTCATTTTAATATGCTGATTTGGTGCTCAAAAAATGTTTCATATTATTATTAATGTTTGTGGTGTTTAATATTTTTGTGGAAACCATGATTTTTTGGATGAATAGAAAGTACATTTGAACTAGAAATCTTTCGTAAACATTATTAATTTGTTTTGACACTTTTTGTGGTTAATTTAGTTCGTCTTTGCTAAAAAAAAAAAAACGATTAATTTTATATTAACTTAAAAAAGGTTAAACTGACCCCAAACTTTTGTGATTGTTTAACATTTGTATTTTGTATTAAAGTCTCAAGGTCTTTTAAAGTGTGGATTTAGCATACATATACTTTTTGTGACCACAGTATTTAGTTAGTAGTATTTATACTTGTATTTTCTACATGCTGTGCAAAAGTGATGAGTAAGTTACATACCATGTTTTATTAATTATGGATGACCCTCCTACAGATGTCATATAGTGTAAACATTTGAGCTCATTGCTTCCCCTGTAAACATATTTCCTATCACTTCTTCATTTAGTTTTTTATAGCTGCTTCCTAAAATGTCTTGTGTAGGTTAGTTACCATTAAAAACCTGTTGGACATCAGCCGGCCTTAAAAGGCTGTTGTCTAAACACGAGACTTCCACAGTCTTTCTCAAACATAATTAACAGAGGCCCTGTGCTTCTTGTCTCATTGTGGGGTGCATGTGAACTATTTGCTGTTCCCATAGAAAAGATCCACATTAGCTTTAACAAATAATTGGATTTGGAGGCACCGAACTGAACATTAATTGAAGCTGACAGTGTATTTGACATACAGGGTCATTACACAGTGTGTTTAAGCTATGACATGACCTCCTGTAGGTCACTAGGCTGGTAAGGGAAGTTATGATGTTTATTGGGGACAATCATGATGTCTGCGGTAAAAAAGACTAAATTTGTTACAAAAACTGGTCGACCTTGTTTTGAATGGGCATCTGTGAATCATTGAATATGATTTTTTATTTCTTTTTTCACTCCCTCCTATTCCTTCTCTCTCTCCCTCCCATCTGTTTCTGCTTAAATATCTCTGTGTATTATTGAAAAAGCTTGAGTCATGGACATTCCTTAAAAACCATGACATTTCTACACAGCCATGAAGATATGGAGTTGAAAATCTTACAATTTCTTTCAAAAGTAAATTTAAAATATCTT